GCGCGGAGGGAGCGCGGCGCTGTCAGAGAGGGTCAGCGCGGAGGGAGGACTGTAATTTTTTTAACTCACGGGGAGCAGGCATTGCTAGCTGGGCTAGCACTTGTTACCCGTCTCTAGTTGCCCTTGAGAAGTTAGTGATGAGCTGCCTGTCCATTTGCTGTAGGTATACTCACAAGGCCTTTGGAGCTATGATATATTTCCAACAATGGATGATCCATTAGAGGGGAACTTGCAGTGGTGGTGTCCCCATGTATCTGCTGGATTCGAAAATTGATTTCTAAAGGGCCTTGGTGAATTTCTCGTAGATTGTAGGGGGAGTGAGTGACACCAGATTCTCAAATAATAAAGCAGGCTGCTTTCTCTTGAATGGTGCCAAAAGTGTTGTTGGAGCTGCAGCGTACAGGCCTGTGGAGCATATTCCATCACACTCCTTAATTGTACCTTGTCAATGATGGACAGGCTTTGTGAAATCGTGAGATGTGTTGTTTGCTGCATGATTCCTAGCCTTTGATCTTCTACTGCAGCCTCAGCATTTACATGGCTGGTGCAGTTCAGTTTCTTGTCAATGGTAACCTCCAGAATGTTGCTGGTGGGAAATTCTGTGATGGTGATGCCATTGAATTTCAAGGGGTGATGGCTAGACTCCTTTTATTATCTTGGGAATAGTCATTGCCCAGTACTTGTGTAGTGTAAATGTTACTTGCCCAAACCTGGATGTTCTTGCTGCAATTTGACATAAACTGCTTCAGTATCTGAGGAGTTGCAATTGCTGCTGAAAATTGTGGAGTCATCAGTGAACATACCCACTTCTAACCTAATAATGGAGGGAATGCTGCTGGTTAAAGAATTGAAGACTTTTGGGCCAAGAACAGTAGCTAAAGTACTCCATGCGACTCTTGTGGTGCAGTAATTGTGGCCTGTTTTCTGGATTCAGTTCCTATCTGCATTGGCGGTGCATAGTTACATCTCAGAACGGATATCTACTGGCAAGCAATGTAGAAGGTCCAAGGAATTCTGTGCTATAATGGTAATGACTACATCATGATGAGCCTAACTTTAAAGAGAAAGTTAACTTGAGGAACTCCTATGGACTTAAAATGTGCAGTGATAGTGCCCCTACCTCTGATCCAATAGGCCCAGGCTTAAATTCCACTTGCTTGAGAGATGGGTGATAGCATCTTTGAACTAGTTGATTACAGAATATCTATCCTGAGGAACTCCAATAGGCCTCTAGTGGTGCAGTGGTAGTACCCCAGTCTTTCAACCTGATAGTCCCAACTGTACAAGGCATGTCAGTACTTGTCTGAACAGATTAAAGTATCTATTCCAGCTCTTTTAACATTTAAAATATCTGGAGAAAATTATCTTGAGCTCCTGTGGGACTGTTGTGTGCAGTTGTTGTGACAAGAACCTGGGTTCAGTCCCTTCTGCTACAGAGATCGAACATAGAACAGTACATCACAGTACAGGCCCTTCGGCCCACAATGTTGTGCTGAACTTTTACCCTAATCCTAAGGTCTATCTAACCTCCACCCCTACCTTATACTATCATCCATATGCGTATCTGATAGCCGCTTAAATGCCCCTAACGAGGCCAACTCCACTACCCTGTCCGGCAATGCAATTCCATGTTTCATAATATTTCTGCACAGGTTGATTAGAAAATATTTACCCTGAAGAACCCCTGCAGAGATGTCCTGGAGCTGAAATAGCTGTCCTCCAACAACCTCAGCCGTCTTTCTACATGCCAGGTACGAGTTCAGTCAGTGGAGAGTTTGCACCCTGATTCCCATTGACTCCAGTTTTGCTAGGGCTCCTTGATGTGAAGGGCAGTCACTCTCGCCTCACTTCTGGAATTTGGCTCTTTTGCCCATGTTTGGACCAAGGCTGCATTGAGTTCAGGAGCGGAATGACACTGACACAATCTGAATTGAGCATCAGTGAGCAAGTTATTACTGAGCAAGAGCTATTTGACAGTAACTTACCACCTTCCATTGCTTTACTGATGATTGAGGTTAGACTGAATGGGATGATAAGACAATGGGTTTTTGTGTACAGGAAATATGAGAAATTTTCCACATTGTCGGGTAGATGTCAGTGTTGTAGTTACATTGGTACTGTTTGTCAAGGAGCGCAGTAAGTTTTGGAGCACAAGTCTTCAGTACTGTTGCTTGAATATTATAAAAGCCCATAGTTTTCAGTCTCCAGAGTCTTTAATTGTTTTACTTATTATTCAGAGTGAATCTAAATGGCTTAAGACCAGCATCTGTGAAGCCAGGATCTCTCGAGCTGCAATAGATCATCCGCCAGGCACTTCTGACTGAAGATTGTTGCAAATGTTCTAGCCTTAAAATTTGCACTGATGTGTTGGGACATCCCATTATTGAGGTTAGGGATGTTTGTGGAGCCATCTCCTCCAGTGAATTGCTGAATTGCCTACTACCATTTATGACTGATTCAGCTGGGCTTAGATCTAATCTCTTGGTTGTGGAATTGTTAAGGTCTCTCTCACTTGCTGGTTATGTTATTTGACATGCAGATAGTCCTGTTTTGTAGCTTCACCAGGATGACACTTTATTCTTAGGCATGTTCTCCTGTATTTTCATGGAGCCAGGGTTGATGCCCTGACTTGATGGTAATGGTAGAGTGGGGGATATACTGGGCCATGAGGTTTGCAGATTGTGATGGGAGTATGATTCTGCTTATACCGATGGCCCACAGCGTCTTATGGGATGCCTAGTCTTGAGCTGCTACATCTGTTCATTGTGATGTTAGCGCTGCACATCATTATGTAAGGTAATCTTGATGTGAAGACTGGACTTTGTCTCCACAAGGATTGTGCAGTGGTCAGGCTTACTGACGCTGTCATTGACAGTTTCTCCTGCGGCAGGCATATTGCTGAAAATAAGGCCAAGTATGTTTTTTCCCACTTGTTGGTTCCCCCACCATCTGTCACAGACCCAGTCTAGCAGCAGTATCCTTTAGGACTTGACCTTTTGAACCATAGTGCTGATGCTGAGGTTTCCTTGCCCATGTTTGTCTTGGTACCATGATACTTTGTGGTGTCTGGAGTCAATGTAGCGTACTCCCCAGGGCATTTTCCTCCTGTATACCACTGATATATCTCTGTTGGGCCTATCCTGCCTGTGGGGCAGAACATATACAGAGATGGTGATGGTGTGGTCTGGGGCATTTGTATAGTGTGATTCCATGAGTATGAGTGTGTCAGGTTATTACTTGACTGTTCTGTGAAACAGCTGTCTGAAGGCACTAGCCCTCAGATGACTTTCAGAGTCATCATATCTGTTTTTGCCATTGTTGTTTATGGCACCTAGGTTGATGTCAGGGGGTCTATACAGTATCATTTTATTTTTTGAGAATTTCTGGTGATTGTTACACCTTGCTAGGCCATTTCAGCGTGCAATTAAGAGTCAATTGGATTTCTGTAGGACAGACCAGATAAGGATGGCAGTATCCTTCCTTATAGGGTTCTGGTGAACCAGATAGGACTTTTCTGACAATCAACAATATTTTTCACAGTCATCATTAGACTTTGAGTTCCTGATTTTTTTTTTTTATTGAATTCGAGTTCCACCATCAGTTGTGGCAGGATTTGAACCCAGATTCCACTAGGTCATCCCCTTAGATCACTCCTTAAATCATCAGGTCAAATGTTTGATCATTTGTCCCAATATCTAATTATGGTTCAGTGTCGAAGTTTGTTTGCTAATTTGCCTTGGGACATGTTACCATGTTAAAGTTGCAGTGTAAATCTCGCTTGCCACTTATAGATGAAATAGCGGATCAAGTAACTGATGGCTTTCCGTGGTCTTTTGCCACTTGTATTTTCTCATCCACAAGCCTGTGTTGGACTGTGGTTTGTGCTTGACCTTGGGCTAGCTGGCCCATCTTACTGATTCTTTGTATTGATCATGCTACTGTTGACCCTCAAGTCTTGTTTCCTTTTCCTGAAAATCATAAACTGAAGCCTACAGCTGCATAAGCTCATAACACCCAGCTTCTAATTGATTGCCTAATGTATTCATTTGTTGATGTCACAGTACTATTAACTTGCTAATTCTGTTACTGTGTCTACACTGCTAATTTATTGATTTTTTTTTTTTGTTTGCTTTGTGACTTAATAAATTCACTACTACTCCAGTAATCTGTTAACTTGATGTGCCTGTTCTGAATTTATTAATTCAGCATGCTTCATTAGTTTGGTGTGTCCACTATTTGATTTGATTTATTGTAGTCACATGTACCTAGTTTTGTTTTGCAAGCAGTACAGGCAGATCATAGCAAATAAGAACATAGAGATCATGGGGTGCTCAAACAGTGCGAGGCATATAAGGTTACAGCTGCACAGGAGGTGCACAAAGTAAGATCAACCTTAGCAAGATCAACATTGTTTGAAGTTAGAGGTATCCATTCAGCAGTCTTATAACAGCGACTGTCTGTGTGGAGTTTGCACTTCTCCCCGTGTCTGCGTGGGTTTCCTCTGGGTGCTCCGGTTTCCTTCCATGGTCCAAAGATGTGCAGGCTAGGTGGATTGGCCATGCTGAATTGCCCAAAGTGTTCAGGATTGTGCAGGTTAGGTGGGTTATAGAGGGATGGGTCTGGATGAGAGGCTCTGAGGGTCAGTGTGAACTTGTTGGACCGAAGGGCCTGTTTCCACGCTGTAGGGATTGTATGATTCTATGAAAGAAGCTGTTCTTGAACTTGTTGGTGCATGTGTTCAAGCTTCTGTATCTTCTGCCTGACAGAAGAGATTGGAAGAGGGCAATACGGGGATGGGAGGGGTCTTTGGCAGTTTTTTCGCAGCAGTGAGAAGTGTAATTGGAGTGCATGGATGTGAGGTTGGCTTCTATGATGGACAGGACTGTACACACAACTTTGTGCTTTCTTATGGTCCTGGGCAGAGCAGTTGCCATACCTTCAGGCCATTATGCACCCAGACAGAATGCTTTCTGTAGTGCATCTGTAAAAGTTGGTGAGGGTCCTGATGGACATGCTGAATGAACAAGCCCACCTGAGAAAGAAGAGCCGTTGTTGTGCCTTCTTGACTGTCGCATCTATGTGGGAGGTCAAGGACAGATTGTTGGTTATCGCCACTCCTAGGAACTTGACGCTCTTAACCCTCTCCACCTCCTCTCCATTGATGTAGCTAGGGGCATGTCCTCCTCTTTTTACTATACCTTATATCACCCTACCCTGAACTTGATTTGTATTCACTGTTTTGGGACGTCTTCTCCTTGGATTTGTTAGTTTGCAGTTATCTGGTATTTTGTTAATTTTCCTAGTTTTCCCTAGCCTACTCATGGCTTAATTAATCAACTTATTCTGATTCCATTTATGCCTGTGGTAGTGGTACATCTCCTCTAGTGATTTGTTGGCGTGACTAGTATGCTGTGGATTTATTGATTTGGTACCGGGTATGCCTGTTTGTACCTTTTTGCTGCTAACTGCTTCTACCTGTTCCTTTAGTTCACTAGTATTTGGTATTCCATTATTCACAGCCCAGCTACCTTCTGCTGCAGTTTCATTTCATCTGCGTTTTAATGATGTTGATTCCCACTCTTCTGGAAATAATGTCCCAGGATCTTTTTTTTTTTTTTTTTTTTTTTTTTTTTGCGTCCACCCTTGGTGTTTGGAGCCCCAGCTTAACATCTCAGCTGAAAGACCACCTCTGACAATGCAGCACACCCTCTTTTATTCCTCTGAGTATGCCAGGCTGAGCATCGCGTTTGTACATCCTCGTCTGGAGTGAGACTTGAACCCACAACCTTCTGACTCTGAGGGCAAATTCATCTAATGTTCTAATTTTTTTAGTAAATAACACAACTCATGTTATATCCAACTCATTCCAAATAAAACTGTTATGCAGATGGTTAAAATATTATGAAAAGGTTTTAAATCTTTCAGCATAATTCTGCAAAGAAGAATGAAATCATATTTACATGTGTGATAAAAATTGTGATCTTAGTTTTAATAATAGAGAAAGCATCTTGCTTCAAAAGCATCAATAGCTAAACAATGAAGCATGTTATTTGTACATGTTTCACTTTGGGTTATTTCAGTGGTAGAGCTGACTCGAAGAAGATAATGCCCAGAAGAAGAGTTTAGTAATGTGTAAAGCCATATAGAATACGTGTAGAGCGCCACAGTTCATCTGTTCATCTCCTTCGCTTCTGAGTCCGAAGGCTGTATGTTCAAGCCCTCCTTCAGAGCCATAGCACTTTAATCCAGGCTAACCTTCCCAGAGGAGCACTGAAGGAAAGCTCCATTGTTTTTAAGTTCAATCTTTCAGTTGAGAGGTTAGATGCTGTCCTCGTCCATTAAAATGAATATGAAAGATCTGATGGCGAGGCATTATTTGGCAAAGAGCAGGGGAATTAACCTTGCTATCCTGGTCAGTGTTTATTCCTCAATCAAACCCACTGGAAAAACAAATTGTCGCAGCATAATCTAATTATTATTAGCTCAAAAATCACTCTGAATTGTAATCTAATTATGTAAATGTACAGAGGATATGGCAATACTCTTGTGAAGCTCAAACAATGAAAAGATGATAACCACTTTCTGTCTTTTACAGAGTCTGGGGAACTCACAACGCGAGTATGAAAAACAAGTTCTGCTTTACAGCATCCGCAATCAGTTGCGGTACAGAAACAACTTGGGTAAATGGAACTGTAATGTTTTATCAGTGAAGTCTTAACAGAGTTTTCATTGTCTGGGGTTAGGTTAGCTCACTTGGCCCGATGATTCGTTCACGGTGCAGAGTGATGCCAGTAGTGCGGGTTCAATTTCCATACCAGATAAAGTTACATGGAACTTCGTCCTTCTCAACCTCTCCTCTTGCCTGAGGTGTGATGACCCACAGGACCCACAAGTTGTCCCTCTGTAATGAGGGAGCAGCCCTGTGGCCCTTTTGGACCATGACGACTTTAGTTTTACTTTTATTTTCATTTTATTTACTTCATTTCAGGTCCCGATAGGTTAAGTTCTAACTTCTACATAATTTACCCAACGTATTGAAAATATACAATTTGTATTAACTAAAAGGCACATTTCTTCAAACAACCGCTAGATTTGCTTCCTCTGTCACCAGTACACTATGCCTGGAGTGTGTGTAGTTCACTAGATGCACTGTAGGAGGTCAACAATCACTCTTTCAACAACACCTTCAAACCCTAGACCACTGCCACCCAAAAGCAGCAGCACCTGAAAGTCACATTGCATTCTGACTTGGATCTGTACAGCTGTTAAGTTATAGTTATTGGCTTAAGTGGAACTCCCTCCAAAACCACATTGGATGCAACTACAGCAAATAGAATAGAAAGGTTCAAGAAAGTGGCTCACCAAGATCTTCTGAAGAGCAATTACAAATGACCAGTATTCGATGGCTTTGTTAGCAATGTTCGTATTGTAAGAATGAATAAAATATGCCACTTGATTTTTTTTTCCAATCTACGCATGCCAGAAATTAGAGTTGAATGTACTATTTTATGTACAGGGGTTCTTTTACAAAACCTTATCTGTCTTGTTTCGAGCTACAGTATGTTATCCAGTCTGAAAGATGGTCAAACAATTGATCAATCTGGCACATACTCCTGTGACTTTAGTTGCTCCATATTAATAGCCTGGCTGTCACTTGCCTCACCCCTAAGCTCTGGAATTCTCTCTCTATTCTTCTCATCTCCTTTTAAGATACTCCTTAAAACCTGATTCTGACCAAAGTTTAGCCACCTGTGTTTTTGTGTTAGATTTTGGCTGTGGGTGCTCCTGTAAAATGCGCTAGTATGTTTCATCCCATTAAAAGTGTGATATAAGTGAAGGTTATTTTTGTTGTAGTTCTATTCCATTACTGACTACTTGTTTTTTATTTTTCCAGTGAGATGTATCAAAAAAGATGAACGCAAGTACTATGAAGAGCTGTTTAAATATAGCAGAGAACATCTCATGCTGTATCCGTATCATTTATCTGACATTATGGTAAAGGGACTACGGGTTACGCCTTTCTCCTATTATATAGGAATTATGGAGGTGAGTTTAGCATTGAAGAGCTTTAAACTGTTAAGTAAAATTAATACTTACTTGTGTACATTTGTGTCTATAAACTTACATCCTCCATATTTAATGAAGGCAAGCCAAAGTTATCTCGACTGTAGTCAGTATTGTTTCCATCATTGGAACCCAATTTTCTAATAATGCAAATCCCTTTTTGCTTGTTAAATGTTCCACTGTAGAATCAAAATCATCCGTCTTTGATAACTAGTTCCGGTGACATCCTATCTTGGGATTATGCCTGATATAAATCCATACATATCTCATAAATATAAATAGGATACTATGTGTAATTATTTATTTTTGATTCTCTCATGGGTGTCATTGGCTGGGCCAGCATTTATTGCTCATCCTAGTTATGCTTGAGAAGGTGGTGGTGAGTTGCCTTCTTGAACCGCTGGAATCTGTTTGGTGTAGGTACACCCGCAATACCATTAGAGAGAGAGAGTTCCACGATTTTGACATACTGACAGTGAAAGAAAGACAATCTTTCACCAAGTTTGGATGGTGTGTGGCTTGGGGAGAACTTAGTGCTGGCGTTCCCATATATCTGCTGCCGTTGTCCTTCTAGATGGTATATGCTAACTCATAATTAAAAATAGTGTTGTATGTAACTTTAAAATTTACTGGGCTGTGGTAACTGGAATTAGATTGTTTCTTGGTGAAGCTATCAAAATAGATTGAACGGCCACCTTAAGTACTTTGTCTATTATTCTGTATCACATTAGTTGCACAGACTTCAACCATACAGCTCAACAGTCTATGCCAATGTTAATGCTCCACATGAGCCTTCTCCCACTTCTCTTTGCTTCATTGCATCAGTGTAATCTTCTAAATCAATGATTATTAGCCCCTTGTAAATTCATGTTTGTTTATCCAAGTGTTTAATGCCACAACATATCTTGTATAAAACTGTTTGTTGAGGAAGTCTTAAAAAGTATTATCCACATTTCATAAATTCTCAGTTCTGGCTGTTGGAAGGATTGACACAAAAGCAGTCAAAAGCCAGAACCGCAGAAAGAACTAATAATACTCCTAAATTGCAACTGTTCCCTTTGACACCAGCCACAGAACGTTCAAACCTGAGCTTCTGCATTTTAAACTGGTGAACATGATGACAGTTTTCCAGTTGTGTCAGTCATTTTGAGCCATTGAAGAGCTACCTGTAAATGGATTTATAGACCGGTGTAGGAATAGAATTACAAAACCAACCACAATACCTCTTCAGTTTTGGACTCTAGTGGAGCTGTCATTTTATTTCACAGAACTAAACTTTTAAAAACAATTTTTTTTTCTTTTTAGGATATCATGAACAGTGAAAAAAGTTATGATTCGTTACCAAACTTCACAGCTGCTGATTGTAAGTCTTGTCTACACTTTTGCTGTTTGAATAAAACTGATTTTTTTTTGCAGAGGATGTGTAAATGTTCTCCACCCCAAGCTCGAAAGAACACTGCCTGCTGAACTCCCAAGTGACAAACAACAATATGCGTTTATTTTCAACCTTTTATGTAGTAAAATGTTCCAAGGCATGAAATTGACATTGAGCCATTTAAGAAGACAATAGAGCAGCAGATCAAAATCTTGGTCAAAACAGTAAGTTTTAAAGAATAACTAAAAGAGAGGGGGACAGGATTACAGAGGGGATTAGGGCCTTTGCAACTGCATGGACAGCTGCCAGTGGTGAAATGATTAAAACCAGGGCGTGAGCAAGAGGCCAGATAGAAGTGCACAGATGTTTATTGACCTTCTTAAGTGACTTTGCATAGATCCGCATTTATTGTAAATGGTTGGGCAATTGAGGCAGCATTGAGTTCTTTTAATTTAAAAGTTATAGTTTTAATATGTAATACACAAATTAATGAATAATTCATCTGCATTGTTTTAACAACTCATTATTATACCATAGATACTCCTAACTCAGTGTCTGGTTTTGATTCTAATTCTGCATCCTAGAAACTGGACAGTGAGGAGCAAATTATAAGTGCAAGCCTTTTTTGCACACCTTTCATTGAGACAGTTTTGCTTGTTAATTTCTATCTGTACTCCTATATCATAGCTGAAGAAGTGGAGTGGAAACAATGAATTCAAGACCAATTTTCTCCAATTCGGATGATTTATGTTGAGGTTTCTAATGTTTCCTTAGTACTGTATAGTTACAAGGAGGCAGTGTCGTAGTTGTAATATCACTGGACTAGTAATCCAGAGGCCCAGGCTAATGCTCAGGAAATACAGGTTAAACTTCCACCACAGCAGATTAATTTGAATTAATAAATCTGGAGTACAAAGTTGACATAGTAATGCTGATCATGAAACTATCCTGGTGAACCAGATTGTTATAAAAAACCAATGTCCTTTAGGAAATCTGTTATCCTTACCTGTTTTGATGAACATGTGACTTCAGACAATAGTGATGTAGTTGACTCTTAATTGTCCTCTGAAATGGTGTGCCAAACCATTCAATTCAAGAACAGTTAGAATGGGCAATAAATGCTGCTCTTGCCTGTGATGTCACATCCCATTGCAGAATGAATAAGGTTGGAAGCTGTTGATGGGAACCTAGAATCAGGTATCTCTCAGAGCAGTGGAAACCTAGAATAAGGTGATATGCCCACTGCTGTTTTATAAAACAGGCTTGTAAAAATTGACTTTGGAAAGGAAACAGCTTTTAAAAAAAATTGAAGGTTTTACAATGTAAAAGATGCTGTTTTCTTTTTAAGAAAAGAGATTCCAGAACTTACTTTTTCACGTACTGAGTTAAACAGTATGATTTGTAAGAAATAGGAAACCAAATCTGTAAACTATTGGCCATGTTGGTGATGATTTCTTTCAGAAATGGCTTGTCTGAAAAGCATATTTATTTTATTAGCTCTTCCCCAGCCATATAACCCTCCAAAATCTCTATTTGCATCTTTGAAAATCCCTAGTTTTTATCCATGCATCGTTAGCTGCCTGGACCCTAAGTTCTGGAACACCTTTTTCTAAACTTCTCTACTTTTCTGCCTCCTGTAAACTCTCCATGAAATCTACTTCTTTTCAAGCTTTTGAGTACTTGCCCTGATCATCTTCAATTGCTTGGGCAATCTTATGAAATACTTTGGGAATATTTAGCTATGTTAAAGATAATAGAAATGCAGATCTTTTCTTTTTACACCTTTTGACAACAGTGCTAAGAGCTTCACAGCTAATCAAGTAGTTTTTAAATTTCATTTGTGCATAGCCTGGTTCTGCAAATATCAACATGATAATTGATTTTTACTGATGTAATTTCAGAATGGATATTAGCTAGGACACTGGAAAGAATCACCTCTACTTTTGAAATATGCCAAATGTTATGATCTTAGACAATGATACTGGACAACTCTAATCCCAGAGTGAGACCTGGCTTGATAGGCCATATTTTCATTTTTTGATTGCCATGGAGGTCAGTAACTAAATGTATTCACAAGAGGCTGGCAATGTACTTTTAACAAAGGAACGCAAAAGAAAATAACACAAACTATATTATACTAGAATGAACTGTCAGAATGATCTCATAAACATAAAAATGCCTTTAATCCAAAAAATACCCTTATGGACACTCAAACTTCAGTGAAGAGTCACACTTTAGACTAAAACCTGTTGCATAGCTGGTGCCTTTGTAATCTGTTAATTTTTGACAAATTGCTACATATTCACTCGATGGAATTGTATTCATCTTGACTCTCCCCATGGCCCTTAAAACAAACTGCTAACCCAACTCACTGTCCCTTAACTTAATTCCCCTACACTTGGGTCTTGAACCAGCTTAGAGGATGTTTTCTACCTGGACTTCAAGAAGGCCTTTGAGAAGGTGCCGCACAGGAGGCTGCTGTGTAAGATAAGGGCCTATGGTGTTAGAGGCAAGGTGCTAGCATGAATAGAAGATTGGCTGTCTGGCAGAAAGCAGAGAGTAGGGATAAAGGGGTCTTTCTCAGGATGGCAGCCGGTGACGAGTGGTTCCGCAAGGGTCGGTGCTGGGACCACAACTCTTCACTTTGTACATTGATGATCTAAATGAAGGAACAGTGGGCATTCAGGCTAAGTTTGCAGATGATCTAAAGATAGGTGGAGGGACAGGTAGTATTGAGGATGTGGTGAGGCTGCAGAAGGACTTGGACAGGTTAGGAGAGTGGGCAAAGAAGTGGCAGATGGAGTACAACGTGGGAAAGTGTGAGGTCATGCACTTTGGTAAGAAGAACAAAAGCATGGACTATTTTCTAAATAGGGAGAAAATTCAGAAATCTGAAGTGCAAAGAGACTCGGGAGTTCTAGTCCAGGATTTTCTCAAGGTAAACTTGCAGGTTGAGTCAGTAGTCAGGAAGGCAAGTGCAATGTTGGCATTTATTTTGAGAGGACTTGAATATAAAGGCAGGGATGTACTACTGAGGCTTTATAAGGCTCTGGTCAGGCCACATTTGGAGTATTGCGTGCAGTTTTGGGCCCCATATCTCAGGAAGGATATACTGGCCCTGGAACGGGTTTGGAGGAGGTTCACGAGAATGGTCCCAGGAATGGAAAGCTTAACATACAAGGAATGTTTGAGGACTCTGGGACTATGCTCATTGGAGTTTAGATGGATTGGGGGGATCTAATTGAAACTTTTAAAATACCGAATGGCCTGGACAAAGTGGATGTTGGGAAGATGCTTCCGTTGGTAGGAGAGTCTGGGACCCTAAGGCACAGCCTTAGAGTAAAGGGAAAACCTTTTAGAACAGAGATAAGGAGAAACTTCTTCAGCCAGAGAGTGGTGAATCTATGGAATTCACTGCCACAGAAGGCTGTGGAGGCCAGGTCATTGGGTACATTTAAGATTGAGATAGATAGGTTCTTGATTATCAAGGGTTACAGGGAGAAAGCAGGAGAATGGGGTTGAGGAACTTATCAGCCATGATTGAATGGCGGAGCAGACTCGGTGGGCCGAATGGCCTAGTTTCTGCTCCTATGTCTTGGGGTTATGGTCTTATGGTCTTATCTCTTCCTCTCTGATTTCCCACAGCCACTTTCTCGAGCCTTTCTTCTAACTGACTTCTAAGCAACTTAAGGCATTCCCCCAGCCTGATTGCTTGGAGACTGATAATGGCAACACCTTTAGAGGTGAAAACCAGTAATACCTGTGAATGACTCATAGAGGTCCAACTAATCTTTTAGACTCTAAAATGGAGCCCCAGTGTGAGCGGTATTATTTCAAAGTATTACTGCTTTTCTTTAATGTTTACTCCCACTGGGATGCTGTTATGGGCCTCTCCCCACTGCATGAATCTGCTACTAGTTCCACTCTGTCTCCCTCTTGTGATCGTAAAGTTTGTCAGCATAAACCTTAGCAGTTACCTGCTGTGGATGCTTTACTGGTCATTTAGCTGAAATCATCTGATTTTTTTTATAATCGTCACAGTTTTTGTAAATACTATTTTGAACTTAGTGATAAAAATGACTTTCTAATCTTGTTTCTAAAAAAAAAGCCAGATTTTCACAGAACTGAAAAACTAAAATTCATTTTCCTTCCTCTTTAGAACCCAACTTCCTGAATAATAATGTATTATGAACCTTCATAACTAGTAGAAACCTTTACATCCAGCAAAGAGGAAAAGCAGGGCCCTGTTTTAACATCTCATCTGAAACCTGGCATCTCCAAGAGTGCAGCAGGATTTTGTCCTTGTGTCCCCAGAGTTGAACTAGAACCCTTAGTCTTCTGGCTCCGATATGAGAATGTCACCCACTCAACCAAAGCTGACACTTAAAAAATGTGCTTTATTTTAAAGAATATGGTGAATGTTTTACAACTGCTTTAGTGATAAAGCAACTGCAGCTTGAGCTATCAAAAGGGAAGAAAGTATAGCTATCTGTTGAAGGTATCTTCAAACTGCATGTTTTGATTTTTTTTTTTATATATTCACAGGTCTAAGACTTTTGGGCATTGGAAGGAACCAATACATTGACCTGATGAACCAGTGTAGATCATCAAAAGTGAGTTGAATTTTTTTTTTGTTATTTGAAGGATTATGAAGTTGTTCACTTCTTGAAGTGCTATGATTTTTGTATTGGAAAACCGGGCACCTCGCCTCAGAATTGTTTCCATGGGTAAAAAGTGACCAAATGCAGAATATAACTTTGTTGTGCCTTCACTATGTTCCTTAACAGCAGTGTGAATATTTCCATTGGATTTGAACTTGTCAGGTGAAAGGATGGTGCACTATAAAGTTGCCATGTTCTGCATTTTCATTCTTGATAGCTAAAACTAGTAAATGCAGCTCCTTGGAGACTATAAATTTTGGGTAGTAATGGATAGCCTGTTACTGAACAATCACCTTTAGATTTCGTTTTCACATGTGGGCTCTGTTATAGTCCTGATATTTGTAATATTAGTTCTGATATTTGTGCTTTATGAACAAATCTGGTAGAGCAAATTGTCCCATTTTAAACCACAATATGCAGTAAAATTGTGAAGAAAACTTAATTCCTTATGCACTCAACTAAGTATGTAGTTTACATTTGCTATCCAATGAATATTGGATCCTGTAAAGAGGACAGGGTTCCATCATACACTGATGTGTTCATCCTAACAAGCATGTGATATGCCAAGAGAATTCTATGGTTGGTGTAGAATGATGTCTGCATGTACAATAAATACATTAATGTTGGAACCTGCTGAAATTCAAGTCTTTTTTTATGCATAACCTATTAGTAACAACCTTTTGTAGATTATATTGACTATTCTTAATTGTGCAAAATAAACATTATTCCAGAAATTTTTTAGGCGGAAAACGGCTCGTGACCTGTTACCAGTGAAACCTGTGGAGATTACTATTGAGCCATGGTGGGTGGTGCAGGCTGGTTACATCACAGAGGATGATATCAAGGTAATGCAAAACCAACTGACCAAAGTACTATTTATTATGGAAGTTGAGTTTTTAATGTTCTGTTATGGCTGTTTTATTCACAATAAGTCCTGAGCCCAAAATCCAGACTGACATTCTACTGCAGTATTTATTGAACACTGAGGTAAGACTAAAGTAGTTTAGTAAGCCAGCAGTAGGTTAAAATATTTGTCAGGACAGTCAAGTTCATTGGTCTTGAACAGGAGTTAAAAAGTGCTCAGAGTTTGGTGACTAGGGTGTACGGAAAAAGATTTCAAAGAGGAAGTTTGGGAAATGATGTGGTTAGCAGTTGTGTTCTGGAGCAGCGGGTGATCACAGTTGAAAAATTGCTATTCAGCAATGATAAGTGAGAACAAAAACATCCCCATTGTCAGTGGGTTTGCTAGCATGCTAGAAATGGACTGGGAGAATAAAATAGTGCAGGATTGGAGTGAGATCATTTGGAGCATGAAATGGAAGGAGAGACTAACACTTCTAAATCTCAATGATTTGGTGTGTGCAGATGGATCAAGGAAGCTGATTAAAACAGAGGCAAAGATTTGTTGATAGAATGCCTGACTCTTGTATTTTTTAAACAAAGTGAATAAAAGAGAGAAGGCTCAGTGGTGGAGTTGACAGACAGATCAAGGGAACAGTGAAAATGTGATACTTTCTATGATTGAGAGGTTGGAATGAGGTGAAAAATAGATCTGGAGAGACTGGCACCCAAAAGTTACTGTAATTTAGGTTGCTGCCTGAAAGAAATGTCATTATTTTAAAGGTTAAACTGCGTAATGAGATACAGATGGGTCAGTGGGTCAGTTCTGGCTCACTGCTGCTTGTTGACAATATGCTGCAGGGCATGGATTTAGCAAAATTATGAGTGCAGTGCTTTAAAGAATTTTAAATATTGCATTTGTAAAATGGGTTGATCTGAAATGGGGAAATTTAAGATTAATCTTCTGAGGAGGAAGTTAGAATGTAAGCAAGTATTAATATCTGAGATAATATATGTAGATCTCGGCACATAAATGGCTTGTAGATATTGCATGATCACCGATCTGCACCGGTCCCTGTCCACACCACCTCAACCAAACCAAACCAAACTTCCACCTTTCCTGCCAGCTGCTTAAGTGTTTTGAGCATTATGGGATATCTTTTTCTCATTCTGTTAATAGCAACATTATTTAACCTGTTTATTAAAGGAAACATGTTCATATTATAATGGTAACATATCTGAGGACTTTGGAAATAAGATACACAAAAATAAATTGCTGGCGAAATTCAGCAGATCTGGCAGCATTTGTGGGAAGAAAGTAAAGATAATGTTTGTCAACTTGAAATGTTAACTCTGCTTTCTCTCCACCAGTGCTGAGTTTTGCCAGCAGCATCCGCAGTTCTTTGTTTTATAATATTGGAAAAACTTAATCCTGTTTATTCTAGTTCTGAATTAAGTCATACTTTACTGCCCATAAGGCCAGATTGTAATTAGACTTGCTTGCACATCTGAAAGCATGTCTGTGTGGCATGCAGAAATTTGGGACAAATCATTATAATTATACCTTTTAGTATTCTAAATACTTTTTCTGTATGAATGAACTGATGAGATCTTGTTGAGAATGGCTGTCTTATTGCCTCTAGATTTGTTCAGGACCTGAGAAGACTGCTATTGATAAAATCATTGATTCGGGACCTCAGCTGGCTGGAATATTGGAACACAATGTGGTTCTAAGTGAGTATATCCTTAGCAGTGAAATCTCTTGCCAAGCCCTGTAACCCAAGTTTTACCAATGGCCCAGTCATCCGAAATGCGTGCTGGACAAAACTGGTATATTTTAATACAGGTAAGTGGGAGTTTTTGGGACCAAATAATGGGATGGATCAGAGGCTTAGTTTTAAAAAAAGGTTAAAAGCTAGAAACAGTGACAGTTCTGAGAGATTTAAAGATCTGTGTTCAGCAGTCATTGAAATGTAGTGCTCAAGTACAAAACTTGAATCGATGCATGCTTCAACACTTAAAGGCACCATAAAATTCCTAAAAAGATTGTCCTCGTAACCAGCAGTCTGTACATCTTGCAGATGAAACTGTTCATTTCGCCTTTCTATTTAATCTCCCATCCCAGCACATCCGTATCCCTCCAGCCTTCACAGTAGTATTTCCTGAAAAAGTCCCAGAAAGAATGCAAGCAATCGGCTGCTGTTATTCGTATGCCATACAATATTGAAGTGTCTTGGGGAAAACCAGAGTGTAAAAGAATCTACTTACTGCAGCAGTTTACATCCGCAATCTTCAAGTTATCCTCATCAAAGTTGGAGTACTGCATTAACCAAGCTGTTAATCACACATAATAAGATTAGGTCTGTGAGCTTTTATCTGGCACGTACAGCAGTGAAGTTGCCTTTGCCCAATTACAAGAGTTACACTAGATGTCAGAGGGTGGTGCAAATTTATGGCTATATTTAAGGAGACCTGGGACACTCCACTACTTTCCAACTAAAATGTCTAACTACAGGCCAGTAATAAGTTAAGATTAATTTCAAATACCCAGACAATAAAGAAATTGAAAGTGAATACATGCTTGTTGCTGTAGAATCTTTTCAATGCTTTGTACAGTACAACAGTTATTTCAATGCATGTTGCTAAATATTAACAGCCCAGAAGCATGCCATTCAGCCCAACCTCTTGGTATTTATGCTCCATTCACGCTATCTCCTACTCACCCCTCTTCATCCAGATTCAACAGCATGTTCTCCTATAGCTTTGTCCCTTGTGTGCATCTCGCTCTTCCAAGAATGTGTTGATGCTGTCTGCCTCAGCTGCTCCCTTTGGTAGCATGCACACTTTCTGGGTAAAGTTTCTCCTGAGTTCCTTACTGTATTTATTTCTGTCTTTAACTATTAAATTTATGATCCCTAGTTTTGATCTCACCAGCAGATTGAATATCATCTTTGTCAACTCTCTTGATTGTTTTCATAATCTTGAAGATCACTACCTGTAACCCCTCAGCCTTCCGTTTTCGAGGGAAAAGGGATCTAAACTGTTCAATCTTTCCTGAAATATATCATCTCTCATTTCTGGTATTGTGAATCTTTTTTGCATCTTCTTCTCAGGTGCTTCTTGTTATAGTAAAAGATATAGAACTATGCACAGTTCTCCTAGTAGGGTTTATCTAACATTTCACACAAGTTTAACATATCTTCCTTGCTTCTCAGTTGTCATACTGAACAAGTGTTATTCCTCATTGGGGTAGCATGCTGGAAATAAAGCCTCTCTATTCCCAAAGTCACCACAAAAGTTAACAATATTAGATAACAGGTTTGCAAATTTGCTATTTTTTAACTATTAACTATTTTTTTAGACCCAGGTTGACAGCACAGACTAGGTTTCTGTACTCCCATGAATGATTACAAATATGAGAAAAATTACAAATAAATAGATTCTAGTTATGAACTGCCAACATTTAATTCTACTAATCAAAACTGTCCCTGCACACACAGACATAGACCCAAAAAAAGGGTGTTTATGAGCGGAGGGGAATTATAGAGAGACAGTTCAAAGGCTCCCTGTCCACGGGGTTTGTTGAGTTGATCCTTTGGTCTTTTCAGGACTTGGTGCTCCTTGATCCCTGTTCTGCAGGTACTTTCACTTGCTTACGGGAGATATAGAGTGACTGGTTTGCACATAAAATTTCTGAATTATTTGTTAAAACCCACAGCTTATAGCAACTGTTTAGGGGAAACGTCTTCAGGCTTGCAGTGTTTTATTTTTAAACTGTAGAGGAATGGACGTCACCTTATTTTCTGAAGGTCCAATGGCTTTTGACCAAACATTCACATTCATAAGCTGTTCATCCTATATCAGAACCAATAACCTAATTGTTGGTAGGCAGAAGGAAACAGCACATAAATGTGTATTGATAACCTGTCTTTAGAAAGTGCAGTAATTGTTGCCACAATCCTTGGTTTTTCAAACAGTTGTTTTCTGATCCAGTCCACAATCAAAAATACAGAAAAATAAAAAAAGGTTTGTAAACAAGTACAGTAAGACTTGACAATAGACATCATAATTTTTGGTAGTGAAGTGGAATAGTCTTGCTCCCTTGCATTCCTGAATTGTAAATCTCTAAGTCAAAGGTTTTTGGACTGCTACTTACTGAAAAGCCAGCTTTGACCATAAGCCATTGTTATCCGATGCACTCTAGCTCATCTTCTGTCACTGGAAATGTGATCTGCGTATTGTATGGCTTACAATATGGTCCAGATGCTGTGGAAAGGTTTCTAAGGAAAGTGCTTTTACTCATAGATTATTTTTTAATTCCCTCGCTTAGCTCCCTGTATCATCTCTGATTTAAGATTGCCAATTTGTGTAGAACTGTAGTGTGTTTTGTGTTATGAACTTGCATCCATTATGTACTGGATGATTCTCACTGTACATGGAATATTTGCATTCAGCTGGCAATGCCAGGAAACTCTCTTCCCAGTACACACACCCTTTTAGTTTCTTGAGTTGAATTTTTTTGTGTAACCAGGTTGTAGGATAAAAGTCTTTTTTTTTTTTTTTGTCTTTTAACTGTAGGAATTCTATTAAAAATGTACTTCACGTTTTCAGTTAAATTATATAGCATTTCCAACATAGAAACCAGCCATTTATCTTAACAGAATTATTGCCACTTTTTGAGAAGAATTGTAGCTTGGGTTGTGGATGAGGTTGTAGACTTGCTCATTGAGCCGACATGTTTGATTGTAGACGTTTTGTCACCCTGCTAGGTAGCAACGTCAGTGCGTCTCCGGTGAAGCATTGGTGTTCTGTCTCGCTTGTTATTTATGTGCCTCGGTTTGCTGGGGTGGTTGGCACCACTTCCGGCTCTGTTTTGCAGTGTCCCATATATCGGTTCAGTTCAGCGTGTTTGTTGATCAACAAACACGTTGAACACAAGCGGGACAGAACACCAACCCTTCACCGGAGGCGCACTGACGATGTTGCCTAGCAGGTTGACGAAACATCTACAATCGAACACACCAGTTTAATGAGCAAGTCAACGACCATATTGCTAGTGTTTATGAACCACGGATCATCTTCTCCCCTACTTTGGCTATGTCCGTCAGCATAGCCTTCTATTTCTTTCTTCCTCATGTACTTCTGAACAGGCATAATGTGCCTAATGGCCTCTTCCTGTGCCCTTTATACAAAAAAATTGTTTTCCTCACAGTGATCATGTGCTAATAGAGCAAATAGGTCACTTTCCGTAGTGATTGGTATTAATTGATTTGTTTATTGAGATCAGAAGATTAACTGATGGAGATGGAAAATTGTTGTGCTGGTCCTCCAAGGAGTGCTAATGTGTCTGGGGCTAAGGCAAAATACTGGGGAGGAGTATAGGTTGCTTGAGTGCATGTTTAATCAGGCTATCCAAAAATCTGGGTGGTTTCAGCTTCTTGGCATTATAAGAAAGAAACACAGACATGCACACGCAACAAAACTGTTTTGTACCAAAACTGGTTTCTCATGTAGGGGTACTTAACATTTTCTAATGGTAGTTACTTGACTTGTTTTCCCTCTTGCATTGCAGGTTTATATAATAAAGGCTTCATTTACCTTGATGTACCAATATCGGATGACAGCTGCATAGCAGGTGAAAAATTTCTTTGACGTGTATTTTATCATCCTGATACAATTATAATCTGAGTTGATCTTTGAATGGATTAATCCCTTATTCTAAACAATGCTATCAGTGTGGATTTTTTTCCTTTGGACCATGGAAGTCTAAGAGGGATTTTGATCGAGATATTCAAAATCTAGAGGGTTTTGATAAGAGTATGTTATGAGATACTGTTTCTAGTAGTAGATTGGTCAATGACCAGAAGTCACAGATTTATTGACAACAGAACCAGAGGCAGCATGCTGGGAAAAGAAACTGCTGAATAAGTGAGTTTTTGTGACCTGGAGTGCACTGCCTGAAAGAGTGGTGGAAGGAGTTTCATTTGTACCTTTTGAGAAGGAATTGGTAAATACTTGGGGGGGCGGTTGGGGGAGTTGTGGGGAAATTCAAGGAGCATGAAACTGATTGGACAATCTTTCCAAACAGCCAGTAAGGCACGGAATGCTGAATGATCTCCTTTGGGTCAAATGGTAGCATAAAACAATGTGTTTTTCTTTGGATCTTGCAGATTGTTAGAAACATTGTAGGAATTGAGTTATTTAATATTAGTTAAGCTGGAATCCGGAGATTGTTGCTTTTTGTTTTGTCTTCTCAGCAGATTCCTTGAGTACCTTTATCAACCTATTTTTAAAAAAAAAAGCGTTATTAAGCACAAACATTAGTTAATTGACATAACATGATTTGGTAGCAAGGTCTTTATTTGATCTGAAGTGTCAGGTTGGTTCAATTGACTTGCGTTGTAAGTCTGTTGGTTGAAGCCTCACTCTTGTACGTGAACTTATAATCTAACCTGACTCTTCAGTACAATACTGAAGAAATTGTGCATTGTTAGAGGGTTAGGGGAATGAGTTTATCTTTCAGATCCACTGTTAAACTGAGGTTCTGTCTAAATGCTTGAGTGCATGTGAAAAATTGGATAGGCCTGTTTGCAAAGGAACTGAATTTCTGTATGGTGGTTGACATTTCTCCCTTGGCGTACACCACGAAATTCTGGAAAACATTTAAGCAAGTCAGGCAGCATCAGTGAGTGAGAGAGAGAAAAATTGAATCGTTTTGTGTCAACTGTTTAACACTGATGCAAGGCAAAAGGGGATGGTAATGAGAGTGACAAAAAATTGGAACAGCGGCTGTATCAACTGGTTAAAGCAGAAGGCTTCTGGAAATGTCTGTGAAAATTGTGTAGATTGCTGAGATATAGACCACCCCACTGGCCTTGTCAATAAGGACTCCCACTTTCCATTCATGCTGGTGCATTTATCAATCTGCCGTTTCAATATTTCCTTCACTACCCTCTGGGATGTCGGTCACTCCTCCTCCTCCTAGATGAAATGCTGTATTTCCAATAGTGTATTTGCCATTCAGTGCAACCTCTCCTGTACATAATATAGATTGGGTGATTATTCGCCCCTACTGAGGCCGCATACATGACAACGAACTATGATATAATCACTGAGTGAAATGCTTTTCTGTAGAGTGGGATAGCAGCAGAAACTGTCTTCATCCTTTAAGGGAAGATTGGTAAATATTGCATGGCGATAAGGAAAAAAGGTGAAGTATTACTGGTAGCGGATCAATTCGTTGCTTATTGGGCAGTCTCTTGTGATGTTGTTGTGGATAGGGAAGGATGACTATGAAAGCTCTTTTCCTGAATGGGAACATCTGGTACTTTTTTTTTTATTATTACTGATTTTCAAATTGAGCATTTCAGTTTTGCTGAAAAGAAGACATTCTGTTGAAATTTATTGCATTGCACTTGTCTGGACTGATACAAGAATGCCAAATTTTAAAGTTTACTTGGTGTGAAGAAAACATGCTAAATGGTTGGTTAGTTGACATGGAGAATGCACCATGGAACTATACAATACAAATTCTTGCTCTCTTATGTATGACTTTCTTGGGTTTATCCTAATGAGTGCAAGACAAAAAAAAATTGACAGCATGTTTTTTCTTTCCAACAAAGCTCAAGTCCTATACTACAAATTGACTTTTATAATATTTTGTATAAATGCGGACAATGTATTTAACTTTTTTTCTTTCCTTTTAATGTTTAGTTCCCCCTTTAGAGGGCTTTGTGATGAACCGGGTTCAAGGTGATTACTTTGAAACACTTCTCTACAAGATTTTTGTTTCTATCGATGAGCAAACCAATGTTGCAGAGGTAGGAAGGCAAACAAAATAAATTTTTTTTTTTTCTAAGCCAGTGCATGCAAGCAGCCATGCAACATTTTTTTTAAAAAACAGACAGGTGTAATATTAAAGAAATACTGCACTGTTGAAGGTGCCTTTGTTTTAGATTCAACAAAGGCCTTGTCTGTCCCATCAGGTGGACACAAAAGATCCCTAAAGTACTATTTAAAGAAGTCTAAAGTGTTGTTCCTACATTCCCTTAAGAATACTTATCCCCTGAACGATGTCACTTCAAAACAAAAACAGATTGTTCGTAATTGCATCAAACTTCCACAAATAGCAATGCCGTCAAATTGGCTGCTGCTTTTCCTACCTTGCAATTGTGACTTTACTTCAGAAGTGTTTCAATGATTCTGAAAGATTTTGTGATGGCCCTATATAAATACAGTTTCTTTCTTGCTTTCTTTCCTGAAAATTTCATATAACCTGGTCTTGTTTGAATTTAGTGTGAGCAGTGTTTTAAGTTGAAGTCATACATTATAATCTAAATATGTCTGTGACATTAGAAAGGCAGGAAATAGCAAAATTCCATACAGACTTTTAAACTATATCATGCGTTTATTTCTTTTATTGAAAGAATGTATTGGGTACAAGAGTTTAAAAATATTTGTAAATTATGCAAAGTTTTAATAGACCAGCAATGATATACTTAAGTTTTTTTTTGAATTTTTAAAAAAATTCATTCATGGAACATGGGCATTGCTAGCTGGCTGGCCAGCATTTATTACCCGTCCCTAATTGCTTTTGAGAAGATGATGGTGAGCTGCATTATTGAAACTCTGCAGTCCACATGCTGTGGGTTGACCCACAATGCCTTTAGGGAGGGAATTATAACTTATCATTCTTGAAAAGTTTGGCTTTATTTGCTGGTGCACTCCACGTTTTATATGCTCCATCTCTTCCATCGCATGCTGCTCCTCATCATTATCCATGTCATTGTTCTGTTCTATCCCCACCCTTTTTATATATCATGTGATAAAATTAATCAATTAGTAGCTCAGAATTGAGGGTTCATATTTTTCTTGGAATACACTTTATTCTTTTTCCCATGGTTGATCCAAAGGAAGACATAAAAGTACACGTCAGACAACTATAAATGAGACAAACATAAAACTTTCTGGAAATGAATCCATGTTGTAAATCTCAAGCTTTCAGCAGCTAACAAAACTCGACTTTACTTTGGAGAATTTGTTCACTTATTTCAAGCTCGGTACCCCGTTTTAAGAAGCAGCAAGTCAAAAAAAATCTTTAAAGCTCCTTTAGTCTCCAAGATACCTATAAAATGTGTGTGTCCTACAAACTTGTGCTTAATTTTCAGGAGAAGGGTGCAAAGATGGAAGAGGAGAAGCAGAAGGGGAACATGGGAGCGGAAACATTAAAAGGGAACCTGGGGATAAACATGCCCAGCACAAAGCCTGCATAATGAATATACTACATCTCAAATATTATAGCCCCTCAGTCAAGTGGAGGTTGTAGCGAAACTCTCATGCATTTAGGCCATGCCCCTAGAAACAACCATTTTATTAAAATGTTACGGATATTACAGTGACCAGAACTGATTTCCCTTCAGAGTTATGCAGCTGTTTATAAGATCTATCGAGAGATTTTGAGATGTCAAGAATTTTACAACTAGCAACAATATGCAACTCTCAAATCTCCCCAAAAATGAAATCCTATTTTCTCCAGAGGTGTAAATTAAGCATTAAGCATTAAGTTTACAGATTCCATCTGGCAAAAAGTGAACTGGCAAAGTGCCAAGTATCCAGAATCTCATTCTAAAGGCATTTTGTTTTTTACTCCCACAACTATTACAGAGGGAAAACCTAACAAAAATCTGAACATAATGTGTAACAAAATTAGAACTAGATTAGATCTAATGTTGAATTATAATGCACTGCATTAGATTTTTGGAAAATTACAAAAAAGTTGACTTCATCCCTGAATTTAGAAAGCTATACAACTTGTAATAGCATCAAATTTTACTACCATAATCGTGAGGCAAGATTGGTTTTATCCGCATATTCACCCCAGAGACAAGCCTCTTCACCAACCATCAACTTTCTGTGCTGCAGTTTCTGTAACCTTTAAAGAAGCTATATAATGGAAGAAACATTAGGTGAATGGCATAGATAAATGTGCATAGTTACAGACATAGGAAATTGTGCTCTTGACTTGAGATGGGCTTTGCAGAGATTTGGTCGAGGTTTTTTAGTAAAATGGCTAGGCAGTTTGAACTTGGGAAGTGCATTTGTCAGTGATTCAGTTTTATCGAGGGCCAGAGATGTTTGGAAGGGGCTTGGTTTGTTGGATGAATACAGTCAGGATGAATACAAGAAAATAATGGCAGATCTTATTGCATTGAGATCATGGAGACAGAGTGGCGGGATTGAGGAATGGTCATCGGTACAGGGTGGGAACAAACATTTGAAAAGTTTAGAAGCCTATATTTTATTGATTTTTGTGAGTTTTTTTTTAATAAGTGTCTTTCTGAAGGAAGTAACGGTTTTTTAATGTTTTTCAGCTGGCGAACGTGCTGGAAATAGATTTGTCTCTTGTGAAGGTACATATGTTTTACAAATTTTGCGATTTAATGTTTGGATAAAGTTGAGTGTATATATTTTTTGGTGGTTGAGCATTTCGCCAGAAAGAAAAATGCAAGAGATTTCAAAATGCCTCATGAAACAAAAGTGGAGATACAAGAACATTTGAACTTAATTATATTATCTCTTTATATTCACTGAATAATGGGCACAGTTGTGAACTTGAATTCCAAAATACCAGTTAAAAATTCCAGAATGGAATGTCGCTAATTCATGCAGAATCAGTGATCCTGATGTCACCCATTCATATCAGATAGACTAAGACCATTACTATAAAACATTGAAAATGCTCACTCACCCAAACAAAGTGTTGGAAATGATTTAGTAATGAATAAAAATCTTAAATCTGCAAAATTTCCAGTCACTATTAACAATTATATATTCCTGAACCCACATTTGTGCTAGAAACTACTTGTGTAAAACTTGCTAGGCTATAATTACACCAATGGATGTCTGCAGCGCTATCACTGGCAGGGAGATATAATTGCAAATTACTAGATCCATATTGGCAATTTCTAAATGCGTAACGCAATGCCCTGGATTTTGTATTGACACCACAGCACCTGGCAACTAACAGAAACCTTTAGCACACACACATGTAGTTCAACACAGAAGTGTAGAAGTTGCTGTCACTGACACCTTGCTCCCCCACAAGTTGTGGTATTAAAACCCTCAGATGGAAATTATCTAGAATTCACTATGTTGATGTGAAATCCCACCTTTTATGTTATTATTCTCACTCTGCCAACCTTGAATAAATGATCATTTGTTGAATGAGGTACAACTAAGTTTTGATAAAAGCTAGAACATAAATTTCTCTGGGCCTGAAAATCCGATCTGTTTATCGAATGTCAAATTTCCCCAGTCATTCCAATAAACACCATTTCTTGAAAAATTAATATTTAACCTTTTCTCTTAATCCTACGTGTATGTTACAATCATTATTTCATTTTCTGTAACATTATGAAGTGTATTTCATGGCTTGATGTCTGAGAGAATTCTCCAATATAGCTACTTATACCCTGCTTAGTCATCGTTGTCGCCGAATGCTTGAGGCCCCCTATAGCTATAACTAGGATTAAATTTAAGCTGGAAAGGTGAAGTCCATGCCATAGAGCATGATAGATTTTTGTGAGCAGCTGACTTAATGATTAGATGTGTTTTTTTATATATCCATATATGGTATGAGCACATTGCTGGCTAAACAAGTGCTTATTACCCATCCCAGAGGGCAATTCAGAGTCAACCGCATTGATATGGGTCTGAAGTCACCTGTAGTTTAGACCAGGTAAAGATGACAGTTTCCTCCCCCTAAAGGACATTAGTGAATCAGATGGGTTTTTCCTGACAATCGACAATGGTTTCATGGTCATCATTAGACTGTAATTCCAGATTTTCTTTGAATTCAAATTCTACCATCTGCCATTGGGAGGGATTCAAACACAGGTCCTTGGAACATTACCTGGGTCTCTGGATTAACAGTCCAATGATAGCATAACTAGGTCATTGCCTATCACTTTGTCACTTCATTGCTCACTGAAAACTCTAGGCCTACGTGGCCTTGTATGTCCTTTTAAAATATTTGGTGCTAATTCTGTTTAATACCATTGTTTGATGACATAATTTTGTAAGTGTTTATTTTGTCTGTTCAGAATGCAGTGTCAATGTATTGTCGACTGGGTTTTGCACACAGGAAGGGACAAGTGATAAATGCAGAGCAGCTTCACCCAACCTGGAGAAATGTTCCATCAGTCAACAGATTAAAGTAAGTGGAGGCTTTCTCGCTAATTCTTTATCCATTGTAGTTATCGATGATTTTTTTCTTTTTTTTAAACTATTGGTGAGAAACAATTTGCTTCACAAGTACAATCTGGATTAATTTGAGATAGGGTGACATGTTGGTTCGTGGAAGGGAAGTTTTTAAACTAGTTACTAATTTAGAAATGTAGATGTTATTAAAAATGAGTTATGCCATTGCACGTAAGATTGTGTTGAAGACTGGTAGTGTAGGATCCTGAATGACAACTCTTGATATGAAAGCCAACCCTCACTTTTGGTACTTGTTATACCTGTAGATGAAGTTATGATTTTCTTGAACAATGTTAACGGTCCAGGAGCTAATATTGGTTCTTTGGTTGTTTTCTACTTTCATTATAAAACCATTTAATTGAAGACCATTTAATCCTGATTGTTGATTATAACATAGTTTATGCTGCAAACACTTGTCCGTTTTCCCTCAGAATCATAGCAGTAATAAAACATGTTCAAAATTATTGTACCTTCTGCAGTGGGATGTGTAACTGAGTTTTCAGGCCTCTGAATCAAGTGACAACCAAACTGCAGGAATGGAGGCCTGCTATGCTAAATATTACTGCAGGACACTGACGGGTTTCAACTTTTACCATAACATAAAGTAAAAGTTAATTATTCCTTCAAACCTATTGAATGGTCTTGAAAGAGTTGTTTAACTCTTCTAGTATTATTGGGTACTGTTACAAACTTGTCAAAAACTTGTACCTGCTTCCCATTCTTACTGCTCGCACTTTTGCTGATGCATTAGTCTTAAAGCTATTGTCTTTGAGAATTGTTCCCACTGACAGAGGTCTATAAATAGAAATCCTGATTTTTCTCTCTCTTAAATTTGAGAGTTTCTGTTTTCCCTAGCCACAGAATAAAAAGGGAAAGAAGAAATTGTGCCTTTTTTTTGTGTTGCCTAAAATTGTAGGCATTACATTTTTACCATCTACCACCACTTTTCGCCACTTACTGCCTATCATTGAATTTAATGCACCAAATCTAGCTATTCACACTAACTCTGCCAGTGTTTATGCACGTACAATTTTTAAAATATTTTATTTGCTTCATCTTGTTCCATCAGCATATTGCAACAGAGGTGAGAGGGGTCATGGCTTCCTTTTTTTTTAAACCCTCTCTAGGTCAGTAGCAGCAAATCGTTTTTGCAATTTTCTATTTTAGCTTGTAGCTGTCACAATTCAATGAGACTTAGTTAACCAGATCAAAAATGCAGATGAGCTAACTTCAAGATTTCTTAGAGCAAAACTGGAGTTTTATTACCTATTACTGCTGCCAGTTCTATTCTTTTTTCCTCCTCTTCCCCCCCCCCCCCCCCAAAAGTAGTGGGAAAAAATTCCGTGTCTTCTCAATGAAAACACTTTGTAACTTTAAAGACATTGATTAGGTCATTCCTCTGTCTTTTCTCTAAAGAAAATAACTCCAGCCTGTTGAGTCTTTCTTCATAGTTATAAATGTACTCATGAAGAGCTGTACAAGTATATTGCAGATCACATGTTTGTTTTTACAATTGTATATGCTGCAACATCATTGAGTTAAAATGGCTACTGTCACCCACAAAAACAAACCAGACCAAGGAAAACTTGCCTTTCGAAATGAAAGTTGCAGTCTTGAAACATACAACAACGGGCTACAGATAGACTATTCTATTTTACGTTAAAGCTGTTTTTGGTTTATAATGCTCTTAGGATGATTCCGAGCTTTATTATTTTAAAATATTCTCCTACTTTGCACTTGAAGTTTATTCTATTTTTTTTACTTGAACAAATATGGATCTGACAAAGGAAAACCTGGTAAGTGTTAATTTGGTATGTTTTATTCATCAATCAGACTTTATTTTATTTTGCCTCTTCATGAGAGTGCTCTAAGTTTTTCAAACTTACCACAAAGTGCTGTGTGTATGTATATATGTAACATAGCAACCAATGTTTCTCAAATGTCTGAAAAATGGATTTAATGTATTGCTGTTGGAGTCCGGTTCACAATGCTTCTGATATATTTAGTACACTTAACTGTAAAAAGTACTTGAGGTTCTTAATTTTTTAGCCTTGGTCTTTTTGTAAAAATCCTTTCTTTTTGTATTGTTGCTCTGGAATGTCTTGTTTTCCTGCTCCTTTCCTATTGTGCTTTTACAACTTTGCTTGTCAATTTTTCAAAACATATGTTGTATCCAATGTGTTGAGCTCTACACATATTAGTTAGACTGTCTTAGTGTTTATGTTGCATCTCTTGTGTCATACGTTTGGAACATGAAGTGTTGAGCACATGAACAACTACTGTTTTTAATTGGTATGTTTCAAAGCAATGTTTTGTTGTTTTCGTTGCTTTTATTGTCATTGGAAATGGAATGCGAAAAAGAGCCTAAACATTTCTAATCAAATTACTACAGTAAACCTCTGTAAAAATAGTCGACATCATGTATTTTCATCAATGAAATAAATGTTTTTTAAAGTTGAGTGTTAAGACAAATTCTAAGTATGCAACTTTGGGTGGAGTGCTAATTAAACAACTACAAAGTTGTATAAATGTCACTGTTGCTTCATTGCTTTACACAGGTGTGCAATGGATCCACAGAAGATGTTGCTCTCATGGGACGGAGCTGATAATCAAAGTCCTGTACATGACGTAGTATCAACAGATGTAGATGCAGCCAGTCAAGATGATGCAGGTGAATGTGCCTCTTCATTTGGGTCAAATGTGATGTTGAAATATGTTTATACATTCAGGTAGCTAATTAGATAACTGTCAAAAAAAAATGTAGATAGTGACTTGATTTTAAAAAAAAGGTATGCAATGATGGAGACCATCTTAGTCCTACCTACAGCACATGGACTGTAGTGGTTCAAGAAAGTGGCCCATCACTACTTTCTCATGAGCCTTTTGGAGCAGATGATAAATGCTGCCATTGCCATCTACACTTGCATCCCTCAGATTAATGAAAGAAAGATGACTTTTAATCTTCTGGCTTGTTTCAAACTTTTGACCTTTACAGATTTTTTTTTTTCATTTCCTATAATGTGAAATTCTTTTGTGAAATAGTACCGTTGGAAATTGGCTACAGTAGCATTGTGGTTACATAAAGTTGTCTTAATTTATAGCTGACTCTGCCAGTGTGAACAGTTTGAGCATGCCCAGTGGACATACTAAGCGAATTGCCTTCCTGTTTGACTCGACCCTTACAGCGTTCCTTATGATGGGAAATCTTTCACCGGTAAAGTGCTCTTGTGTCTACCTAAATTAGTATATAGTGATGGAGGGGTAAATATTGGCCAGAGCAGCAGGAAGAATTACTTATTCTTCTCCAACATATGTGGGATCTTTTGGAGAATGGGTAATTAATGTGGCATAAACTGTGTGACGTTTCAACACTGTAGTCATTCAAATCAAAGGAAGTGAGAAGAAAAGGCATCAAATGAAGTATTTGTTGTACAGTGCCACTATTGCTTAGATACATAAAGTTTGCACAAAAGTAATACAGCTGCTGAATAGCATGAACTAATTTTCACCAAATTAGTAGAGCTTTTGACTGTAAAGTATATCTTGAACGAGTTACTGTAGCATAAATGCAAACGGTTGATTTTTTTTTTAAAATATATGTTGTTTGTCTCTGTTTTAAGTGTTAGTTTTGTTCATGTTTCATTGTTTTGTTTTTTATAGAACCTTAAGAGCCATGCTGTGACAATGTTTGAAGTTGGAAAACTATCAGATGAATCATTAGACAGCTTCCTTATGGAACTTGAAAAGGTAGGCTGTTAGGGCGAGTGTTACTTTTATGAGGAAAAGGCTCTTGCAGTTGGCTTTGAAGCATTGTTTAGTTTACTGGATGTTCAAAGTAATTCAATATATTAAGATTTTGAGGAGTTTCAGTGTAGCAAATAAGAAGGAACTGATTTTTGTGACAGGAGAATCATGGCATCTTCTGTTCTGTAATAAGGACACAGATTTAAGATAATTAGCAAGGGAGGCAATATTATTAACGTGTGGTGTGTGCTGCTTTAAAGGTGGAAGCGTCTTGTATATCAACCGTTTTATTGTGTTAATTGTTGTGGGGATTTACTAGTTGAGCCCCCTATAAATAAACATACATTGAAACTGAGTTTCACAGTAAGGAGGTGTATTCTTGCAGTGTGTATTCTTTTTAAATACAATGTAAAAGTTGGCTCAAGTTGTATCCTTCAATTCATTTCCCGGATTGAAAGACCTTTGGAGAGGAAATCGAATAAATACTTGGAAAGGAAATATTATGTGGCTCCAGGGAAACGGGGGAGTGGAACTGATAGGGTAGCTCTTTGAAAGAGCAGGTATAGACACAGCTGGCTGTAAAGTCTTTTTGTGTGATGCTATGATATGTTGCAAGTGTACATGAAGACGTTTTAATACAATTAATCTTAGAACGTGTCAGAAAGTTTTCCTTTAAAAAGAAACACTATTGCATGTTTGATTCGGGAGGGAAGAAAGAGTCTGGATTTTGAGTTCAGTAGGATTTAAGGTTTCTGTATCTGTGGTACATTAATAAAGGTGTGTAAACGTACAGGAAAATTATCAATTTGATCACGAGCAGTATAGCTTTGGTTTTCTAGCTGGCATAGAAAAGCTGAAACTTGAAAATATTAAACAACAACAAATGACTTTAGTTAGTTAACTTTATTTGAGGTTTTACAAATCACCATTATAATGTAAGCTGTTTTCTAATAAGGAATTTTTAGAATGTTGCATCTCATTGCAGAGTTATTATCAGCTGTGTAATACACTATACAACTTACATTCTACAGTAGTTTCTGCTTTTTAGGGTTTGCTTTGTTCTCGGTGCAGTTTTTGAATACTGTATAATGTGGTCAAACTGAGGTGCTGAATGAGGACTGTGTTGATCCTGCTGTGGTGCTCAGCCCAAATATGCACCATAGTGTATTTTGCCAGCTCACCTATTTACATAGGAGTGAACAACAGCAACTTATATAAAACATTGAAAATGCTCACTCTCACCCAAACAAAGTCTTGGAGATGATTTGGTAATGTATAAAAATCTTAAATCTGCAAAATTTCCAGTCACTGTTAACCATTATATATTCCTGAACCCGCATTTGTGCTAGAAACATAGACCCTTCGATATTGCAAAGTGTCCCAAAGTGCCTCACAGGAGCATTATCAAATATAAATTTGTTACTGAACAACCTTGAGGAGAACGATGGTGGGAGATGTGTGAAGAGGCTTAACAAGGGAATTCCAGAGCCGAGAAGCTGAAGATGCACCAGCTATTGGTGGAGTGAAGTGGGTGTACTAAGTTGCCAAGTTTGAGGAATGCACAGCCATGGAGGGTCATCGGTCTCCTATTAAGGAGAGGCAAGATTAGAAAAATAGGCCTAAGATGAGTAAATGAATATGATTACAACACTTGGCCACCAGCTCCTCCTCATCCTATTTTGAGATAGTGACAATCTGATTGTGCTGCATTACTGTGTCACTGTACTCTTGTATACTAGGTAAACAGTAGTAGAAACTGAAAGTCATTTAAGAAACATTTTCCATTGACTGGAATCAAAGTGATTTTAACTCCTCTCGATGGAGAGGATCAAGTAATTCAGCTAGCTGTGATTTTTGGAGGTGCGGTAACTTATTGAATTGGCTACAAGCTGGTATGTTTAATGTGTTGTAAATAAAACTTTGTAATTTGATGCCCTTAGAGATGGCTTGTGCAAACACTTGCCTACCACTGATGGGCAGAATAAGTAACAGCACCTGTACTTGAGATTCCATAATGTCTTTACATTTATCTAAATACTGTTTTCCAGTTTTCAAAAAGTGGAAGGACTGATTACTGACTTGCAACCTGTGACAGATCAGTTTTCCTTTAAACCTGCAAGTTCCTGTAATAAAATTTGAACTTGATGTTATTGAATTCCTGAGGTGGCTTGACAGATGCTGAAAGGATGTTTTCCTTCGTGATGACTCCAGAATTCAGTTTGAAAATAAGGGGTCTTCCATTTCAATCGATTTCTTCTCTGAGGATCGTTACTCTTTGGAATTTCCTTTCTCAGTGAACAGTGCTGGCTGACTCCTAATTCCAATGTTGAGATCAACAGATTTTTTTTTTTATTGGCAAGGGAGTCAAGGATTATAGGTGAGGTTTTGAGCAGGAAATTGGAATTACAACCACCATTAAATCATCCATGATATTATTGTATGTTGGAGCAGGCTGTAGGGGCCAAATGGCCTACTGTGAGTATTTCTTTTCTTCTTCCTATTCCGCTCCTTGTAACTAAAGGTTTCTGATAGTTACCATATTTTTACTATTTAATTTTTAAGGTTTTGTTGAAGCACAGTTTAGAGACACAAAGTAATCAGAGTATTTTTATATTATAGGTTCAAAACACTGGTGAGGGAGAAGCCCAGAGATATTTTGATCATGCACTAACTTTGAGAAACACTATACTCTTCCTGCGTCATAATAAGGAGCTGGTTACAGATGAAGAGCAACCAAACAATGGTAGGAATTGGCTACAATTTCTGTTGAAAGTACAATCATTCCTTCGTGTGTGCAACGGTTCTCTTTCTGACAGTGTCCGCAAATGATGAAATCCATGAGTATGGAGCCCTTTTAAAAATAAAGATTAAAAATAGCTTAAAAATTGTGGGTACACAAGCTTGTCCCCGATGTTGAATTTTGTTGCTATATATCTTTTGGCATGGATAAGCAAATTTTGTGAGTTCATGACTCGCAGACACACGGGACTTATTGTAATTATTCAAAGCCTAAATTGTTAAAAATTATGCCTTCACCGTGGATGTAGGGGAGGTGCTGCAACAACGATTAGTAATCCAGAGATCCAGGTTAATGCTATGCAGAAAAAGATTCAGATTCCACAATGGCAGATGGTGAAATTTGAATCAAAGAAAATCTGGACTTAAAAGCCAGCCTAATTGGAACCATGTAATTCCTGGTAAAAACCTATCTGGTTCACTACTATCTCTTTTTAGGCAAAGAAATCTGTCATCCTTGTCTGGTCTCGCCTACGCATGACTTCAGATCCACAGCAAAGCAGTTGACTCTTAACTGCCCTCTGAACTGGCCCTAGCAAGTCATTCAGCAATTAGGGATGGGCAACAAATGCTCAGCCAGCGACAGCCATATCCCACAAACAAATAAAAATTATTATAATACCTTTGTCATAGGTTCACTTCCCATGATGTTACTTCTGTCATTTCTCGAGGGAAATGGTTGGAATGCTATATAAAAGTAATAATTAAATGTTCAAATCCGTTGTAGCATGCTTTAAAATTGAGATTGACATGACTTATTGGAGGCAAGTGTTATTAATTGCTGAGGAAGGGTCACCAGACCCGAAACATTAACTCTGATTTTTTTTCTTCACAGATGCTGCCAAAGCTGCTGAGCTCTACCAGCAACTTCTGTTTTTGTTCCTGATTTATAGCATCCATAGTTCCTTCAGTTTTTATGTAGTATTATTAGTTGTTAGGTGACAACTTGCTTGAATACCACTGTTTCGTTTGGCAAGATGTTTTTATGGGGCGGGGGGGGGAAGAATGTGTGGATATTGAGTTCGAGAGAAAGAATTGGGTAGTGTAGGGTTTAGGTGGAAGCTTTTGAAATCAGGGAAGGGAAAGACTGGGGAGGTTCCGAAGTGAGAGTTTGACAGCAGGTGGCTTAAAAAGATGGTGCCTGATTAATGGAACAAAGAATGAGGAGGAAATTGGATCACTATTTGATGAGCGAAGGGTTCAAGTTTGGGAGAATAGCTGAAGGAGGTCATGCGGTTGTGCATGCATGGGTTGGTGCAGACAGGAACGTATTAAGGGTGCTGAAATTGATCCTTTTTAGGCAAGCTTAACTGTCAGAGTCTGATGAGGAAGAGAGGAGCTTTGTGAGCAAGCATGTCGACAGTGGTATTTTGAATCATATGCAATTTACGGAGAATTAAATGTGACTGAGCATAATTTCCACATTAGTTCATGTTTTAGTAGATTAACAAATGAATTAATGCGATGAAGGTCCAGAACGAATTAGCTTTGAAACTTAGGGGTCTCCACTTCTACTGGCAGAAGCTTAACCAGTTTTATACTGCAAACATACCAACATTTTAATAATGAAGTGATCCTTGATTGAAGGCAGTATTTAAAAGAATTGTTATGTTTTTTGACTGTCTATTGACAGTTTCATTCACCCCAAGTCAATGTTGGGAAAGTTAAGCAGTATTGTTTCCTATTGTTTAAACTTTTTCTGGAAGTGTAACCAGTCATATGAAGAAAAGGTTGTATGCTGGAAGTATGTATTAAAATGGCAGCAATTAATTTTAAATGCTTTGGAACTGATATTTTCTGGAACCAGTGGAGAATATCCAGATTCTTGTTTGGTAAGGGAATCAAAGGTTATTGGGATAGATGAGAATTTGGTATTCAAAACAAGCTGATCAGTCATCAACTTAGTGAATGGCAGGGCAAGCTCAAGGGGTGGATAGCTGACTACTTCTATTGCAATGCTCTTGTGTCCAAAGAGTGGTTCTGTGTATGAGATTTTACCTTCTGATGTTCTATTTCAGGCTTTCCATTAGATCTGTTGCGTTGTGAGAGCTTGTTGGGATTGGATCCTGCCACCTGCAGCAGAGTCCTGAACAAAAATTATTCACTGTTAGTCTCAATGGCACCGCTCAGCAATGAAATCCGGCCAGTTAGCAGCTGTACACCACAGGTGAGCAGAGGAGTTGCAGAATTATCATCCAGTACAGCTCTTTTTAAAAAAAGTTCTAGATCTTCTCCGGAGGGCTGAAAATTAGATTGCTTTTCAAAAGAGCCAGCACAGATTTTGCGGGTTGAACAATCTCCTCCTGTGCTACATAATTCCATGACAGCTGTAAAAGTAGAAGAAACAGATTGGAGAGTAGCATTCAAAAACTTTAGAAGTAATAACAGCAATGGAACTAATTTGACAGCTCTTTCAAAGAGCTGACACTGGCATGATGAGCTGAATGGCTGCTTCCTATGCTGTAAGGTTCTAGAATTCTCAGTTGCTGAGTTCTGTCAGGTCTTTAGCATGATTCTCTGGTTCATGGGTAGCTGAACTGAGAGTGTGTGTGTGTGTGTGAGAGAGAGAGAGAATGAACAATACAGTGAGGAACTCTTGGAGTTCTGGAAGGGTAGTGTGTCTTCCTAATAAAATTCCTGAAGTTCTTAAAAAGCTGTTTTCTCCCACCACTAGCTGTAAGCTATTGCGTTTAACCAATAAATCAATGACTTCATAATTTGTGAAACTGTGTTACTGGGTGCTCCTATGAAGAAATAGAAAAAACCTTAAGGTCAGAGAATTAAAGGATTTGGGCAAACAAAAGAAACACCCTGTCAAATCCTGACGACTGGTATTGAAATAACTCCACAGAGGCCGGTATCTTGTCACCAAGTCACTCTTTATTTACACGTGGAAAGTCCTTGACTCTGGCACAGCCCCTCGTCAGAGTTAACTCCCAGAGTATCAGGATATCTGACACTCTTATTTTTAATCTGTTAGTCAGGGCTCTCTGGCAGATTAACAGCCCCAGTCAGAGAACTCGTACTCTATAAGGTGCACTTGGCTGACCTCGTTACATTCACTATAGGTGACATTGAACTGTTTCCCTAGTACTTGTCTCCCCTCCATCCATGATGCCAATTTGTTTTTGTGTGTAGTGTGGTTGAGGGGGAGGGGTAGGAAGTGGGTTAGAGTTTCAACTAGTAGAGTTATATGCAGTTAGAATATATTTATTTGTAATAAGTAATAGTTCCTGTTAAGTACAGAAACCTCATCCGTGTTTTCTGTTAATCCTGGTCTATCAGACAGATAAATTGGTGGTCTTTGTGTTCTTTGATAGAATATTTAACTTCTGTGACAACTCTGCAAATAATAGGGCTTGATTTCCAGCATATTATCTGGTGAGGTGTAACAGAATTGATCATAATATTTAGTATTTATAAATACCTTTTTCTTTACTAAGAATTCAGAATTAGTTAGGTTAACTTGTGTTAGGCTTTATTCAGCTGTGTATTAATAGACCTATCTGATTAATCATAGCTTGCTGCAGTTGAAATGAATGCTACATGATGATTAAAAATAAAAACTATAACGTGAGATTTTGCTGGAAAAACACTTATTCTGCATCTGATTGGAAAAGACACATTAATGACTCACATTTGATTTTATATTTTCTATAATATGTCTAACTAATTTAGTATACAGCATTCTTGCATTAAACAAATAGCGTTTTTTTTTCATACAATTAGCACATAGGACCAGCCATCCCAGAGGTTAGTTCAATCTGGTTTAAACTTTACATCTATCATATTACTGGACAAGGACCCCCATCATTGCTACTTTCAAAAGGATCGAGGCTCAGAAAACTTCCAGATATTTTTCAGGTATTTGGAGAAAGCAATCATTCATAATTTTCCTATTTAAATGCACTAAGTTTGTTCATTCCTATATTGCATCAGAATCATTGATTAAAAATACATTGTTTTCCTTTTTTTATTTTCTCAGGGCTATGACCGGTTGCTTATAACCTCTTGGGGACATGATCCTGGGGTTGTTCCCACTTCAAACGTGCTCAGCATGTTGAATGATGCACTGACCCATTCCGCTGTATTAATACAGGTGAAAGTATTTGACTCTAACTGAGAAATCTTCTATTAATTGAGCACCTTGCCTGCTGATGGACAGTGTAAGGAAACTGGTCATCTGATCCAGGGAGCGATGCGAGTTTTATTTTTGTATTATCAGTTAAAGAAAGTAATTAACAATTACAGTAACAAAAACAACATTCCCTGATGTGTACTTGTAGTAGATATGACTTTACAGAGTTTTTCCAAGGGTTTCTGTCAGTTTTAAGAATAGATTTGTGTGTATGTTAAAAATGCTTGAGATTATTGCACCCAGTTGGAGCAAAATTTGATATGTTAAAACAGAAGAAAATTTGTGATAACTTGCTGGTAATCTGGTAATGTACTTTTAAACTTCTAGTCTTTCCAATAAAAAGATGTTTTAGATCATACAGTAAGTTTTCTTTTAACGCAAGCATCTGAAGACCTTGGATTAGTATTAAAGTCACAGGACAAGTAATTCGGAGGCCCACGCTAACCTCAGAGGTTCAAATCCTACTACGGCTGGTGGAGTTTAATTTCATTTAGTAAATCTTGAATTGAAAACTCGTCTTTGTAGTGATGGCCATAGAACTATTACCTATAGTCATAAAATTCCCAAGGAAGTCTGCCATCCTCACCTGATCTGGTTGACATGTGACTCCACATCCACAGTAATGTGGTTTACTTGTATTTGTCCCATGAAATGCTCTAGCAATTCACTCATTTACAGAGAAATTAGGGTTGGGCATGAAATATGACCTCTATATCCCATAAAAGAGTAAAGAAAATTTGATATCTGATATGTGATTCAGTTTAAGCCACTTGAGGTTGGATTGCTTTGCTGCCACTACTGTATGACTTTAATAAAATAAATGAATACATTGTCATTTTATAGGGTTACGGTATCCATGGTGATGGAGAAACAGCTTATGTTCCATTCCCTTTTGATGAAGCAGAAATGAAAGAAGGTGAACATTTCTAATTACCTACCATTTCAACTCTGATGATTTGCATTGCTGGAAAACGTTTGCATTATCTCTGATCAACTTTTTTTCAGATCCACTTCTGTGCATGTGAATGTTTTAAGATAGAACATAGCTGAATAATGCTTTGTTTTGGGTCTGCTGCAGAATTTTCCCGGAATAACATGTGTGCTCATCGAGCTTTGAAAGTGTTGAGGGCGAAAATGGATTTGGACCATTTCTGTGGTTTTGTGAATATGTTGAACCCTCATGTGCAGCGCATCAATGGCAGACATCCCAGCGAAGAACTGGAGGAGAAAGGTACAAAAAGACCAGCTTAGCTTGATTAAAACTACATTGGGAAATAAACCTGTACACCAACTTGTTCTAAGTCAGAATGCACTAAGATATATTTCATAAATTTAAAAGGTAGCACATTAATAAAAAGCTAAGTGGTTAAAGTGCAGAAATTGCTACTGCACTGCATAGAATTCACAGCACATAAATAGACGATTCGGACCATAAATCGACCAGCTGGCGAATACTTAAACTCCACATGAGCCATTTCCCTCCCTTCTTTCTCTCATTGCTGCTTATTTATCTTTTCTTCTTGCAATGTTCTACTTGGCTAGCTTCCCCTTAAGAAAAGACTCCCATTGGTAAAGAGTCCTTCATGAACCAGAATGTCACACAGATTTCTATTTTTGCTGAAGTGCTTGTAACCAATTTGTACACCGTAAACTCTCTAACAGGGAAGAGATAATAATCAGTTAATCTACTTTTTACGTGCCAGTTGAGAAATAAATGTTGGCCTGAACACGGGATAGTTTGTTATTTGAACAGTGCCGTGTTAATTTTTAAGTCCACATGACAGGGGCCTTGGTTTAATGTCTCATCCAAGAAACAGCACCTCTGATCTTTCAGCATTGCGCTGGGAGTATCTGTGCATATTTTTGCACTAAAGTCTCTGGAGTGAGACTTGAACATACAGGACTCTGACTCAAAGGGGCTATTGTGCATTCTTAAATGCATCAGAACTCTTCATTTCAATCACTCCCATGCAGCAGCAAATTCCAGATGTTTACAATTGTCTTGGTAGAGTGTGAAGTGGTTAAGGTGAAAAGTGGGGATACATTTGAGAGGAAGTTAGTCAAGTACATAAGAAAGAAATTTTGAAGGGTGTGTTGGAGGGATTAGACTGACACAGATTTGTGTGGAGCCTAATCTCTTGTGACAAGTTTAGTCCAACTGGGCTGAGTTATGCTGTAATTCTGCGTAGGATCATTTAGACCGTAAAATATAGGGGCAGAATTAGCCCACTCAGCCTATTGTATCTGTTCTGCCATTTGATCATGGCTGGTATGTTTTTCAACCCCATCCTCTTGCCTTCTCCCTGTAATTCTTGATCCCCTTGCAATCAAATTTATAGCATTGCTGTTCACAATTTGAACTCCTTCACATCGGGGAGACAAAATGCAGACTGGGTACGCTTATGCCCTATCCACAAAAATGACCCCAAGTTTCCAGTTGCCTGCCACTTCAACACACCACCACGTTCCCTCGTCTTGGGCCTGCTGTGAGGCTCATTGCAAGCTGGAAGAACAGCATTACGTTTGCTGCTTGGGCACCCTGCAGCCTTCAGCTCTCAATATCGAGTTCAAGAGTTTTAGAACCTGAACATCACCTATGTCCTTTACCCACCTCCAAATCCCAGGCCCTGTCATTACAAGGACTGTTTTCAGTGCAGCCAACCCATTTTCACCTACTAAAGGTCCTCATTAGCAGCTTTTCTTTCTCCCTGGCATACTGTCTTTCATCTCTTTGTCTGCCTGACTGTTGTTCTCCATCTCTGCCTATCCACTCACTTCTTCTCCTTTTTCCCTCCCCCACCGTTTGACATTTATACCATCTTTTATCAGCTACAAATCAGTTCTGAAGAAGGATCACTGCACTCTCAACATTAAGTCGGCTTTCTGCAGGTGCTGCCAGATGTGCTGAGTTTCTTCAGGAATTTCTGTTCTTGTTTCAGATTTCCAGCATCTCTTTTATTTTATCATTTAAATTGTATTGATTTATTGTTGGGTTTTGTGGGCAGATGCAGTAGTCATAGTCAGCAAAAATCAATCTGACCATAATTAAATTATGAAAGAAATTCATAATTCAAAATAAAATCCAGATCACAAAACTCTTGATGGCTATGTGAATGATTTGAACTTTCTTGCCAGAGATTTTTAATCCTTTAAATTAATTCAGTAGATTACTACTATTTTAATTATTTAACGTAATCAAATGAGATCAATTAAACTGGGCTCACAACTAACCAGTTTACCGATGCTTGATGCCAACGCAGAGTGATGATGGGGTAAGTAGTGATTGGTGTATTGAAAATATTAGGATCATATATTGAGTAGAGGACTATAAGCAGTCTGTGGACTTGACATGGTAAAGGTGCTGAAGAGCAACATTTCCCTATGTACTAGTCTGGTTTTGATTGTGTTATATGCCACTTGTCGTAATAATATTACCTGTAGCATTATGGGTAGCACTCTTGCCTCTGAGTCAGGAAGTTTTGGAATAAAGTTCTGCCTCAGGGATCTGAGTATAACATGGTGGACACTCCCAGTGAGGTGCCCATTGTGTGCTACAGTGTCAGTGGTGCTGTGTTTTGTAATGAGACATTGAATCATCTGGCCTCTTGGTTGGATGTAAAAGGTCCTGTGGCTATTTCTTCAAAGAAGAGGGAGTTCTACTCATTCTGGCCAATACCTAACCCTCAATCAATACACCAGAAACAGATTAGTCATTATCATTTGCCATTTGTGGGAACTTGCATTGTTTGGCTGCTTTGGGATGTACAAGAAGCTGTCTCTAAATTAGATTTTTGTTTAAATGTTAAAAATAATTGATTAGCTCTGACTCAAATGTACTTTGGAACCTTAAAACTCTCCCACCCTGCAAACTGTGTTTGCATCATCTGAAAATACATTTTGCTTCATGCTGGTGTTCTGCAGATTCTTAATGAGCTAGAAATGATCTTGCCTTATATTTGACAGAAACATTATTTATGAATTCAAATGTTTTGCAGAAGAATTTGAATCTCCACCTGGATCTGATGCTCAAGGCAGCACAGAATCATTTGAGTTGGTAACTGATGAGCCCATGGCCGATGCTGTGCCGAAAAGAATTGCTGAAGGTAAATACAATTATTGTAATCTTAGTTCTGTGCACTTTAAATACTGCACTTCCCAAGCCTGTGACTTCTCACCTGGAATTACAAGGACAGCCAATATGTTACCACTTCCAGGCTTCCATCTGATGTATCACATGATTCCAATTTGGACGTATTGGAACATAGAAATTAGGAGTAGAAGTATGCCATTCAGCTGCTCGAGCCTGCCCAGCCATTCAGTAAGATTGTGGCTGATCAGTTTGTGTTTGTGTTTTGAATTCCACATTCCCATCCACCCCTGATAACCTTAGCTTCCCTTGCCTAACAAGAATCTGGACATTCTCTATTATATCTGCTTTCCATCCTTGCTGGATCAAAATCCTGGAACTCCCTACCTTTTATACAGTGGGGAATGTTGCCACCCATGGATAAAGTTCAAGGAGCGGCCTTGACATCGATTTATCATGGGTCACTAAACGTGGGCAAGAAATGTGAGTCTTTCCCGCAACATGCAGATTGCAAGGTTTTGTTTTGAAAAGAGCTTCCTGATGCTTGGTGGGTGTATGCATCCTGTGATCATCTTGAGACATTTCAAAACATCCTTCATTTGATGCCTGGTTTTCTAATTACTATCCAGTGGTTAATGTTTGTCTCCCTTTCTCTGCCGTCGCCCAGTTCGGGTTTCTTGTACCACTATCTATTTTAATTGCTCCAGCATTGGCAAACATGTCTTTGGCTGTCTAGAACCCAAGGTCTACAATTTCCCTTCTTAAATCTCTCCAGCTCTCTACCTCTTCTGGTTTGAAGACACCCCACAGAAACCTATATTTTTGACTTCTATTTTGTTATCTTATCTGGCGATGCTATAAGCAGTTGAGGTTTATCTGATAATCACTCCTATGAATCTCTTTAGGACATTTTGAGACATCACAGGTGGTACATAAATGCAAACTGTTGTTTGAATTGTAGCAATGCCCCAAAAGTAAATTAATCCTCACTGCGTTACTGTCAAGACTTTGTGTGACAAATAAGAGCGAACAGGAGTATTTTACTGTGCTGACTTGTACAATGTTTCGATTTTTTTCAGCCTCCCCAACAGAGCAGGACTGGATTCCTTTGGAGCTGTGCTTTGGAATCCCACTCTTTGTCTCAGAACTAAATAGGAGTGTCTGTCAGAAAATTGCCACACATCAATTATGTGGGAAAGAAAGGTAGATTTTGTTTTGGGCTTTGCATTTAATGGTTATTATTTCCTTTGCAAGTACAAGACTTTAGTTGCTTTTTCATAGAGCCGTACAGCACAGATGATGGCCATTCAGCTCATCGTGTGTGTGCCAACTTTCTTAAAAAGGACCTACCGATTAGTCCCACTCACTTGATTCTACCCTGTAACCCTGCAAATTTTTTGCTTCTGATAAGAGATCCAATTACCCTTTTGAAAGTTATGATTCCGACTGCTACCACCATTTTTTTTTTTTTTTTTATTTTAAACAATCACATTCCAAATCATTTATTGTGCATTTAGTAGCACTGGGCATCAGAGTTAGAAGGTTGTGGTTTTAAGTCCTGTTTTTAGATTTGAGCACAAAAATCAAGGTTGATACTGCAGTGCAATAATGGGGGAGTGCTGAACTGTCTTTGGATGTAATGTTAAACTGTCTGTCCTGAAGAATATAAAATATTATTATTTTATTTTATTTATCTTATTATTTTAGTTATTACTGGTGTCCTGATCAATATTTATCCTCAGTCGACATCACAGAAGCCTGGATAATATCTCAGGCTGAGGAAGCTTACTGTGTGCAAATTGTTTGCCATATTTTCTACACCATAACAAGTGACTACGCTTCAAAGTATTTCACTTTGCTTCACAAAGTACTTTGGGATATTCATTGGTCCTATATTTATGAAAAATTAAAATCTATTTTTGTTATAACTCCGGAGGAAAGAATGTTCATCATTTATCTCCCTTGGCTGTTTCTTTTACCAAGTATTTTATATCCTCTTATTATTGATCCTCCTCCCAATGGAAACAGTGTTGCCTCCTTTACTGTAGTAAAATCTTATAATTTTGAACACCTCAATTATTTTTAACCGTCTCTCTTCTAAGGTGAACAATCCCAGTTTCTGCAGTCGTATGTTATTGATGTCCTGAATCCCAGAACCAATTGTTAAATATGCATTACGGATTTTTTGTCAAACATGTATGTACTTGAACTGATGATTTACAGATGTAGCATCCATAAGTTCTCTTGATTACTACTTGCAGTAAAGTATTATTGCCTAATTAAATCATTTTATGTGTTCTTAAAGAAAAAAATCTCCCACAGTTATGAACAGGGATCCAACTGAATGCATGTCGTGCTACCATTTGTTAGACCCTTGCACCTATTATGACTCAAAGATAAAGTCAATGCATTGCTTACCCTTTTTCTCAACCTTGTATGACCAAACACACAAATTCAGTCCTTCTGTGCCAGAACGATACATAGATTGAAGATAGAGCTGGAATCCTGCAGGCTAACTTTTCAAATGTGTATTGCCTTGGCTATAGCTGGGTCACTGGAGTCACTGCATTTAATCTAAGGTTAAATGCAAATTGTCATTGAAAGGCCTTGTTTCATTCTTTTCATACGATACTGTGTAAGCAGAGGATGTAGATGATACAGAAGAAGGAAACTTACATGATTAGGGTTTTCAGGAATGAAATCCACTTCCAAGTGAGAGCAGCAAAAGGTGTTGAAAAGGAAGTGTTTACATTTTACGTTTTGTCATTGTAAACAGCATTTTGTTTAATTTCCTTTCATGTTTATCTCGCTTTCCAATGTAAATAAATTGTTGTATACATTTGCATATCATTAATTGACTGTGTATTGTTCTCCTTTTATAGCCTTCAGAAACTTTTGCATTCCAGTAGGAAATTATCTCTGCAAGTCCTCAGCTTTGTACAGTCATTCCAGGTATAAACTATCTAAAATATCAATGTTGTGTTCTGATGAAATTGATTGTTTTTTAAAAATGTGATTGTGATTGAAATATGATGAGCACAGATGAGACAGAGTGAATGAAACATTACCCCTTCAGATTCAAATTTGGGATGAAAATCTACCCGGCTGGCTTCAACAATCTTAATTCACTTGAGTTTGTCAGTCAAAATTCAGCTCATAACATCAATAATTGGTACTAAATAAGTAGTAATTGGTATCAAGGTAGTAATAATTGGGAATTAAACAGGTAGTATCCTCGATTAGCTGTGGAAATAGTGCAGAATGTTGGAGCTAAGGTACAGTACAGAGAGCTTTATTCTGCTTCAAATTGTTGATGTACTGGTCTGGGGGTGTGACATTGAGTCCCTGAACTTAAATGGAGTTCCATCATCCATCCTGAATATTGTTCTTCAAATAACAAAGTCAATCATACAAAATAGCGCAAGTCAGACAAAATATTACAAGCAGGGAAACAGGCCATTTAGTCCAACTGGTCCATGCCAATGTTTGTTCCATGTGAGTGTCCTCCCTCACCTCTTCTTGTATCTCCATCAACATATCCTTTTATTCCTTTTTCCTTTCTACTTGTCCAGCTTCCCCGTAAACACAGCAATGTTATTTGCCTCAACCATTCCCTGAGATATTGAGTTCTTCTCTGGTTCAAGCTGTTTCTCCTGAATTCTTCAAACTCTTAATTTTGACCACCACTATGTCTATTCTTCTTCGTAATTGTAAAGATCTCTAACAGGGTGTTCCTCATCTTTTTCTGGAGAAAAGAACTCATGTTATATAATAGACTTTGTATAACAAGCTGAAAGCTCCCTGCTGCCATGACTATGTAGTCAACTAGGCAAACTGCACACTCTTGTCTCCCAGAACAACTCTATGTTCAGTCAATCTGTGGTCTTTTCCTATTCGAGCTCCTGATTGGTTTTAAAATTCTTTAAGGATGACAATCTCATAATTAATTCATCTTGATTCATCACATCTCTTTGTAAAAGATTGCTGGTCTCTTCTGCTATTACTGTTCGATGTTTATAGGAAGTCGGCAACATTAGGTGATATTTAGTCCCTCAAACCTGTTCGGCCATTCAGTGAGATTTTCTTTGTTACTTCATAATGCTCCTGTGAAACACCTGGAACCATTTCATTACTTTTAAGATGCTACGTAAATGACTTGTTGCCAGTGTGTTTGTTGCCAGTCACACAATGCAATAAATGTCAGCAATAATCAGGCAGAAGCCAACCACTTGAAATAAGTATGAATATTAAGAAAATAACAGATCAGATAGATAAGGAAGTATCAAGTATAATCAATATATTTCTGGAAATCTGCTCTTTGAAAAGCTTTTCATAACTGATGTTTTTATTTTGTGATTGTGCTCAGGAAACTGGTGACTCAGATAGTAGTATTACATCTTTATTTACTGGATCATCACCCATTGATGTTGGAGTTCCACTTCCAGCTAAGAATCTGGTCTTCAAAGATGGTGTTTTGTCTGAGTGGGTTGGAAAGTCTCCATCATCTCTACATATTGCTAGATTGCACAAGGACCAAACTATTTGAACTTAATTTTGTTCTTATAATACTGCTCATCACAAGCACGACTCAGAATAGCATATGTCTATTTATACTGATCATTTTCCTTTCTTGCTTTTTGCCCTTCTCTCTTTCTTTGTCTTCCACTCAGTTTCTTCTGTCTCTTTTACCCCTTGCCTTTAGCTTTTCTCTCTCCTCTTTTTTGCCTTTCTCTGACACTGGGTTCCTAAAGGACAGCCAAATATAGCACCTTAATGTTTTAATTCAAAAAATAGACTTGTGATTTCAATTTTCTGTGAAAAGTGCTGAATAAGATGAACCTCTTGGATAACTTTAAATAAACTGGTTGTGTGTTTTGGTTTGTAGAATTACTTAGTAACTTCCCAATGAAATATGACATTTTTATTTTAAACAAGGTTGACAGACCCACTCCACCATATTAAATTGATACAATGAGAAAATGAGCTTTAATATCCACTCTAACCCTATGTATGGTGGCCATAATCTTGCTGTCACTGTTTGTCCATTTTCTACTTTGCTTCCTGTCCTAAGGTTTAGTAACCCAATTACAAATTGGTGAGCAGTTAGTTGGTCACTGATGTTGGCCATTATGAGGATACAATCCCATTAAACCTATGAAGTGGAAGATTTTTAGGTGTTTAAGCTGCTGATGGCTATTTAGGGACAAATGTATATTGGCATACCTCAAATCCCAAATTGAAATTAAAACGAGTCCATTGAACTTTTTTTTTTTTTTAAATTGTGCCTGTCACTGAAGGATTGGTGTTGAAGTGCATTTTGAGCACCAGTTTTGAGTGAATTTTATGTACAAGCACAGTTTGAGAACAAAGTTGTCATGGTACTGAATATCAGTATATTATCGCATTCACTGATGTATTATATGCTGAAATATGTATTATCTATCTATCACGCGCGGGCATAAAAATCTAGTTGAAGGGTGAAAAAGTTTTTTTGTTTTTATTCAAGTTTCATTGAAAACAGTTAAACTGGCATGAGAATCAATCTACACCACACCATTAAGCTTTAATTATTGATACATCTGCCATAATCTTGTGATTTCTGAAAGATAACAGACTGTATTTCAGTATCAAGTATGCTTGTTCAATATATCAATTTAACTGTATTTGTGTCTATGTAAAACTGGAGATATCAGGAAGAAGGTCTGATTAAGTTAAGTGTACCTTTTTTATGGTAGAAATTCTGTCTAATGCAAGGATCTATTTTTGCATAACAGTAAGTAGTTTTTACTATTGATCTGTTCTAACTTTGGCTTCAATAACAGTTGCAGTGATTATTTTGTACTTGTTTTTTCAGGATTCCACTGCTGAAATTGATTTGGGGAGGGAGGGCGATTCTGAACTTAAGTTTCTGTGTTGAGATTTATTCTTTTGTTTTAATTGATTAGGAAATGGCTTGGGGCAGTGAAGTGACCAATAAAGGTTTTCTTGCAACCTATAAAACATGTGCAAATGACAGGTCTTTTTTTTCTTTTTAAATCCATTGCAAAACTGCTTCTGAATCTGTAATTTGAGTCATTTTCATTTACACAGAAGTATTTAAGGTACTTGATATGTGCAATTGGAAGATTTCATTATCCAAGTGTCCTTGACTCGTTCACTCTCTATTGCCCTCATCATCTCAGTTACAATGATCTGTAACCTAGATTGTACATTGCCATGAGGGTACCTTGGTCTGTTTTGGAAGCAGTGATGCTGTACAAATGATACTGAAGGATAGTGAATCAGTTAAGTCACTGTGTAGTCTCTCTACTTGTTGTCTTTTGTAATCCATATACTATTGAAACTTCAGAAGTATTCCTTGTCTCATTTTTCATTCTGTGGTGCCCTTCGGCCTCAAAGTGCAATAGATGTGTGAGTTATTCTCTTTGCAAAAAGATGTATGAAGTGTAAGATTAATAACCATGAATATATGTTAATATAGGCATCAAGTGTATATATTCACTGATACCTTCAATGGACCATAATGTCAGGCAGTGACCACTTATCTGTATCTTACACTGCATAGTCCAACTGATTTCCATCTTGATTTACGAAAGAAAAGTTGTTACTTCAGTGAGTGAGATTTGACCTCCTTTAAAAATTGCATTTTTTTGGAATGGTGAGACTGTTGATTCATGTTAAAGGATCTTTGGACATTTGTTATACGTATTATCTTGGAAGAATATAGCCAATAAATGTTGACAAGATTTTCATGTTTTTCCATATTTATTTTCATGTCTAATGTGTTAATATGTGGTCCAAAGAACTACACTGCTTTACTAAAGTCTCTTTGTCGATATTACTGCTGTGGCTGGCTTCCTATTTTGAAAGTTTAGTTTTATTGCCACCTTCATGGCAATTGGCTGTTTTTAATCCATTTATTGATTGCATAGTCTAAATATTGAACTTCAATAAATCATAATCTTTGCTGATGCACAGAGGGAGTTAGTCATTGGTTCCCCTTCCTGTATTTTGAGTGTTTTTGCAATTTCCATCTTCCATTCTTTCCTGCAGATTGATGGAAATAATACTGAATGTATCTCCACCAATGTTTTGCCAGGTCATGACTGAAAAGTCAACACATTGGGAAATCCTGCCTCGGGGGAATGCCCCCATCCCATCGACCATGTCACTTTTTATAAAATAGCCTTGTAAGAGGCGTTTGGAACTTTCAACTGTAAGGTAGAGGCTCGGTGCAGTCAAGTCTTTTGTCAGCCTGTCCGGTGAGTTGCAAAGGTTCTCTTTTGACAAAGTCATCTGGAATGAAGAATTTAGGCTGATGCATGGGGCCAATCTATAGGCCAGTTGGACTCTCCAGCTTGTTCCACCAATCGATGAAATTATGGTTGACCTGTAATCTAACTTCATGTACAGCCTCTCCCTTTTCCCTCCTATCCCTTTAGGTTAACAAATTTGTTAATCTCGTATTAAAAATGAACAATTCATGTCATGTCAACCACCTTTTACAGAACATTTGGTCTGGTACATTTGGTTTTTAGATGCCCCAAAACAGAGCATTTCTGTTTATCTCTTCTCCTGTCTGTTGCCCTTAAATGCCAATCTATTCATTGCTTCAGCATCTATATTTTGAAGATTAAAACTCTAGTTGATGTAGTGTCTTGTAATTTATGAATTTCATTAACACTTGAATCATTTTTATCTGTAGTTTTAATTGGTTTTTAGTGTAAGGGAGCACGACAATTATGTATCCTACATAATAATCATCTGAGTTTAACGCTTTACAAGGTACTGGAAAAGTAGAATGGTCTCAATGAATGAGAAAAACAACACAATTAGAGTTCAAAGAAGAAACCAACAAGGTAAATTGGAAAGCCAATAACTTAGGAACATTAAATGACATCATCAGCTGGGTAAAGATGAAATGCTGGATTTCCCTTGGGTTGCACAGAAGTTTAAAATGACACAGAATCCATTTCACTAGATCTGTAACTATGTAATTTGATGCCATAATTTCTGTTAGTCATTTGAAGTGTTTGTATGGCATACACTTAACTGTCATTGGGATGGTCTGAATAGCCCTTGTATCCATAATAATCAGCAACAAAGCACTGGATTATAAAGATAGTAGGAACTGCCGATGCTGGAGAATCTGAGATTTCTGAAGAAGGGTCTAGATCTGAAATGCCAGCTTTCCTGCTCCTCTGATGCTGCTTGGCCTGCTGTGTTCATCCAGCTCTACACCTTGTTATCACTGGATTATAAAGCATGTTTTAATTGACAGTGCTTCACAGGAACATTTATTTTCAATTTGTTTGCCACCAACTCAGGCAAGAAATATATTAGGATGGGTGACCATAAGATTGGTTAGAGACAGAAAGGATTTAATCTATTCCTGACAGCAACAGCAGCGTTAGAGTGGGCACTCCAAAGCCTGGGGGTCTATTCAGCTGAAGGTAAGGTTGCCATTGATGGAACAGTGAGAACTGGGGACATGTGGGAGGCTAAACCTGGATGGGAGGGAAGTGGTTGTGGTGTGGAATGTTGTATCAAGATGTTGACAGTGATCCTGCTTATTGGCAATTATGCCCATGCCAACTGCCTTTCAAGCTGTCCCTCTTCCTTTTTAATGTTCCCTCTGGATTTCTTGATAGACTCATAAAATGGTTCCAGCCCAGAAAAAGGCCCATTGAGCTTGTACGGAGTCCCTACATGATTAATTTAACTAGTGTCTCTCTCCAGCCCTTAGCTGTAGTCTTGCAACATTTTCCCATTCAGGTGCATATACAAAATTTTGAAAGCCATGATTGAACTGCTTCCGCCACACACTTGGGCTGTGCATTTCATAGTATCATAGCATTCCAGACCCTCATTTTTCAGGACATCAGATGTCTACCATTGTAGTTATGTTTGTGTGTAATTGGATTGTCAAAAACTACAGTACAAAGACTTGAAATAATGCAAGTTTTCCAACTAAGGTGTTAAAAGTTTAGGTTGAGGAGTTTGCACTGTATGAGTTTGCTTTAGCAAGCTCTCACCATGGGGTCTCTGGAAGGAAGGTACCCTACAGGCAGCCAGTGGATTAACTGAGGGGAAACAACACCTTGAGAGTGAGCAGGCCAGCCTGTGGAATGTTGCAAATTATGCTTGGACTACTTTTGTGGGAGGAGTCTCTTCACTTCTATTGTCAGATTTAACAGTTTTGCACCCCTCCTCATTTATACATGTCAGTTCCCATTCAAAATACACAACACAATCCACTTGTGCACTTTGTAAACATACCCTCCTGCCTCTTATTCCAAGGCTTCCCCTTTGTGCCAATGTGCAAAGAAGTCCTCTTTCTCTGCACCACTCAAGACAGTTGCCTTTTTTGAGTGTCTTGGGACTGTAGTGGTTGTATTTTTACTAATTGAATTTCAAGATGGACCTACATCTGCATACCTTCCACTGTACTAGGGATAATCTCATCCTGCCTCAGATACAGGTAAAGAACACTGGTTGATAGAGCGAGTAAGTAGGAAGAGACCATGCATTCTTGGATGATGTGGTTAGCAGGGAGACAAGTTTTTGTGTATTTTGAGCCGAAGAGCCAGTTTACATGAGGTTGCTGGCTTGTTTTCGTTCAGATGTTTCAGCTAGCAGCAAAATGACACAACTAGCTTTACTTAATATCAGTACACTCCGGACAATGAAGGCCATCAGTTTAACTGGGACAACGTAACTAGAGTAGCCCAAGCCAAACATGGATACACACGGGAATTCCTAGAGGCATGATCCTCAACCCATAATGTAATCAATAACCGTATAGAATTGGACCCGATATACAAATCCATACAGAACAAAACCGGAAATTACAGCACTCACCATAATGGACTGGACAGTATAAACTCCAACCAGAGTAGAACAACATTGCTTTATCGAAGGCCTAGCATGGTGATAAAACATCTGAATGAAAACAAGCCAGCTCGGCGAGCAAGTCAATGACCTCACCCACAACCCGAGCTACAAATCTTTGCTAAAATGTTAAAAAGCCAGTTTACATGTAATGGGCTAAAGTGTTACGTTTGGTCTGTAAACTATTAAGCTTCTGCCTGACTTGTTAGGTCATTATTCATCTTGATAGTATTCTGTGGCTGCCAGATGTAGGAATTGACATTAACACATTCCTAGTCTCGATCACATAATAGCTTACTGCTGCTTGTTTGAGGCAAAAACAAGTAATTGGCTATTGGCCCTGTGCTTCACCGTGAGGAAGTTTAGTAGACAGGGTGACCTCAGCTTCATACTTAGTAGTCCACATGATAAGGAACTCTTAATAAAAATGCATTTCAACACACATCTCTGTTCCTTCCTTGTGTCATATGCATTATAAGAACTAGGAGCAGGAGTAGGCCAGGAGTGAACCATGAATGCTCTTACTTTGTCAAACTGAGTCTCCCAAATGTTGGTCAAGGGTATATTTGAAGCTGATTTGGTCAATAATTAAAATGTTGTGTAGCCTACACCTCTGACAGAAGTGGTATGCAGAAGATAGTGCCTTAAAACAAACACTTGGGTTTTTACAACTGCTCATTCAACTTGCACGTTCTTTCTAAATGTCACTGCTAAAATTTGGGACATACAATGAAAATGTTACTGTATGTGTGCTACAACATCATAATGTACATAGTCATGACACCAACACAACTATTGGAAGGTCACCCAGGACATAGAATAACGAATTTAGCCTTATTAAAACAGATATGCAATCTTTCCACAAAATGAGCACTTTTCAGGAATATTTCAACCCATGAGTGCAAGATCAGTGATAGTAGGAACTGCAGATGCTGGAGAATCTGAGATAACAAGGTGTAGAGCTGGATGAACACAGCAGGCCAAGCAG